GCGAGATACTTGCGGGGGGCTGGGCTGGGGTGCGAGAGGGGGGAGGGCGCGGTTGACTGAAGTGTGTGTGGATGCACGCGTCGATGTCGATGTGCGCGTCCTGTCAGGGTGGAAGGAAGAGAAAGGAGAAAAAGGAAGATTGGATAGAGTGCGGTGGAAAGGGGAGGAAGAGGAGTGGTGGACGGATGGAGGACGGATGGATGAATGGAGGGGGATGGGTGGAACGGGTGGAATGGGTGGATGGAGGATATGATGTAGTGGTGTACGAGTGTTGGGTGCCGGTCGCTGGAGTACCTGGAGTAGTGTGGTCTGGCAGGTGTCTGCTGGCTGTGTGGTTTGAGGATCAAGGTACTATGGCAAGGAACTGGCGTGCGGGCGTGCTAGCGGGCTGCCGGCAGATGCAGGATGCAGCAGCTCACGGTGCAAAGGGTGTCGAGATATAGATGTATAGCTTTGGGTTGGCTGGGTCTAGGGTCCAAGGAAATAGGGTACGCAAGGGACCGTGGATGGGCCTAGTGCGATGCGACCGACACTGGGCGGCGTGATGGATGGGAGGGATGCGAGGGAGCACCGGAGGCAAGGGGGGGCACACGCCAGGAGCAACGCTACCAAGGGCCGGGCGGGCCAGAACCACCATCGTCCAGGAGCCAGGAGATCAGGAGAGCCAGGTGCCAGGAGCAGGGAGTCTAGGTGCCAGGTGCCAGGTGCCAGGAGAGAAAAGGGGTAGGGGGAGTCGCAGGTGTGTCAGAGGAATCGCGAATGAGCTAATCGATAATCGACCACGCTCCTCGTCCTTGTCACGATCCGAGATGCGAGATGCGAGCGAGAGGGCCAACGAACCAGACCCAGACCAGATCATCCACATACGGCAGAACACAAACATCCAACCCAACCCCAACCCCGCAGACCATGCGCCGTGACATTTCTCTCCTACTGCTCCCCTTGTGATGTGATGCATGAGACCAATCGAGCAAGAAACAGCCGGTTAGGCAACGCTGAGTGTGCAGCGACAGAGAGTGGGGAATGAGTTGCAACCAGAGCAGATGCGCGCGGACAGTGGTACCCGGTCGGGCTGTCAGCTGGTCAGCATTGCGCAGCACCAGGTAGCCATCGAGTCGACAGAGCCTAGAGTCAAGTCAGTCGATTGGAATGTCTCTTGGTGCAGTGGTGCCAATGCGGTCCGGAGCGCCGGAGCGCAGAGCGCAGGGACAAACACAGTCGCGAGCGCAGACGAAGGGAGCGAGGCGAGGGGAAGGCAGGCGAGACGAGACGGGCGCGAGTGCGGCCGCAGAAGCAACGCACGGGCTAAGCAGGGGCAACAGCTGTCAACAAACACGAGGTTGGTAGCATCGACGCAGACAACCCGAGAGGCGGAGAAGTCTGCAGGACCAGCAGCGAGCAGCACGGAGCGGACGAGCTGAGCCTGTATTGATGATCACTGGGACTGGGAACAAGGAGACGACGACATCGGCGCATCGACTAAACGACCCGAAAGCAAGCAAGCGAGAGAGAGCACGAGAACCGAGGCCCCGTAGTCTTGCCAGCGTAGGTCCAAGGAGCCAGAGGTCACAGGTCGCACGCGCGCACGAGGAGGGGTGGAAGACATGAGCGTAGTTGGGCCGCCAGGTCCTGGGCGTCCTGCGGTTCGGCCCCCCGCGCCCCGCGTGCCATGCCGTGTTTGCCCCTGTCTATCTTTTCCTGAATGTCTTCTCTTGTCCATCCCTGTCGCACCCTTAACTCATGGCCCATCGGCTCCGTATCTCTCCAACGTCCATGTTTATCTACAATCCAGGTACAGCCTGTAGCCAGCGGCCTATCCCAAATGCACCTGAATCCCATCTGAACCGTTTCATTCAGCGGTCACTCAACGCGCGCACTCAAAGGGCGACTGGCCAGCCCGCAGCAGACAGCTGGTCACCCCCGTTGTTACCCAATGCTGTTGCTCCACTACGAGCCTGCTCTCAGCCTTTCTGATGCGCGGGAAACAGCAATGCATTCATTCACCGATGTTTGGGGGTGGGAGTGGGAGTTGGGTGGCAAATCGCTTCGGGACTCCACCGCTTGGAGCGTTCTGGCCGCTGATGGAGCGAGCTTGACGAGACCAAGTGATGCAACAATGCGAAAAGCCTCGACGGCCGAGAGCAAGGGCCAAAGACCTCGAGACAGACTTTGCCAAGGCACGACCGCAGAGGAAGCGAGGGCCAACGAGGACAGCGAGAGGCCACGGTCGCTTGAGAATTGAGCAGGGTCGAGGCAGGTCAGGACCCATTTCAGGTACGGGCAGGCACCATCACCCACACCGTCAGGGACTTGTCGAGCAAGATACCAAGTGCGTCCGTCCGTCTGTGACGGGTGCCGCATTGGGGAATCCGCCTGCAGCCTGTAGGACAAGGGGACGACGAGGGACAACGACCTGCGCGACCTGCATAATGCTACGCGCTATCGCATCAAACTGAAATGAGCGGTCTCGCGGCCTCGATGACCGAGCACAGGTGGGCGATGAGCAGAGTGACGTTCATCCACCTTCCGGCGGGATCGTCATGTAACCTGTTCACGTTGAGATCGATGAATAGGCTTCATTGCTCATCCGGTAAGACGACCCATTGGCACTTGCGTCTCTGAGCGTCTTCCCTCCGTCCGCTGGCTGGCTGCACGGCGCAGCTCTTTCGCGCTCAATAGCACAAGCACACTCCCAGTCCCGCTGAGCCCGGTGGGTGTGCGTCCCTCTTTCCGTCCAGCAACGCTGCGGTTACCTTGGCCTTGCTGATACGCTACTGGTGCAGTGCTTCCTCCTCTACACTCATGGCGCCTCTACTCAGGGTCGTCCAGCGGTTCCCACCCACCCACCTGCAAACCTTGGTCATATGACACAAACGATGCAATAGCAAAACAGGATGGCGCATCTGCTCCCGCTGCATCCCTTGCGCCGCAGACCTAGCAGATGCACGCCCGCAAGCGATTGCACCGGATTGCACCAATCGGGCGATAAATGCCTCATCGTCGGACGACAGTGCGGTTCCGGTGACGGGCCAGTCGTTCTCTTCGCCTTCCTCGTCGATGTCCGGTCCGTCCAGTTTGGCGAGACCAACCCGAAGCGCTCTCTGCCGAACGAGGGAGGCGTGAGCGAGCAGAATGACAGTGTCGTTGCACCCTCTCGCGGACCATCCTTTGTCATTGTCCGCCATCCGGCCCGTGCGGCTCATTTGGAAGATACATCCGACTGATTTCCAACTCTGGAACAGCTTCTTCTCTCTCGCCACGTCCAGTTCTCATGTCAAGAGCGCATGATAAATCTCGTCTCGAATGGGAAACCTCATGCACTGTATATTTACGTCCGGCATCGCCATTCGTGCAGTTGTTGTTACGGTTTCGCATTGCTGAAACGGTGACTGTAATGCATAGCTCATTAGCCACCGCCCTCTCCGTCGATTGCACGATCTGGACCGTGCACGCTTCTGTGTCCTATGACCGCAGCCCGCCTGTCGTCCTGCAGAGGTGTTGCAAAGCTGCGACAAGTGGAATGCGTCGCCACCGGCATTGCAATATCGTACTCTCTATACTCCGAACTCCCAGCTGACTTCCATATTCCAACAATGGGTGCAGTCACCACTTCCCGTTACGCATGCTGCGACGACAGAAAGATGGCGTTGCAGAGCGCCCAAGTGGAAAACCAGGGGCAATCGTCGCGAAAGACCCAGCAAACCAAACAAGCCCTCACGGCCCTTGAGGGCACATGGCCCAGCCAGGCGCCGAGCGCCGCCAGGTTGCAGTGCGTTGTGTGTTGGGTGTGCGGGCGTGCCTCGTGCCCCGCAGAATCCGAATAACTGTACCGCATCTCCCTTGGCGGGACACTCCCAGCTCATAACCTCTCAATAAGCTTCAGCACACCGAGCGCTGGACCGCCTTGCATGCAGCGAGATACTTGCCATGCTTTCCCCACGCTGCGCCACGCTGCCGTATCTCTGCGTCTAAAGTTACGGAACAAGAGAACAGAGTTGGGACTATGACTCAATCCCTCTGTTCCAGGCCAGCACCACCACTCTAGCCATTCTGTTGCGGAGAAGGACGACGCGACGGTCGTGCCTGACAAGCCTCGTCCGCGTGCTGCCCAGGTCCGAGGTCCGCGAGGCCCCAGGTCCTCAGGTCCCGAGATCCCCCTGACACTGTGTGCTCGTGATCCTCTTGAGACTCCGGTCCGCAATCTGCTGCAGAGGTTCCTCGCGGTGAGCTGCAAGATGTAAGGCGCCGCCGCGTCTTCCTCCATCTTCCTCCATCCGTAAAGACCCCGTGCGCTATCTGCTCCTCTCGGGTCGACCAGGGCTTGGCCCCCGTGCGCCTTGGCCCTTCCGCTCCGTTCTCTTGGTGACTCTGAGTTCCTTCCAGCGCTCCAACGTGGAGCATTCTCAAACAAAAGATCGACGAGCCGGCGGGCACGGGGCCAGGGAAGACAGGAAGCCGGCGCGACACCCACCCAGCCTGCGACGCGCCTTCCTCCGGGTTCCGGCTCTGGTACGCTGGCCTTCCCTCCACGCCTCCACGCCCTCCGCAATGCATCCTTTTCCGCAAGCCAACGCCCGCAGCCCACACACCGTCTCCCGCAGCAATGCTCGATCAATTCATCGCATGTTGCGAAGGTCTGGGCGTCCTGGGCGTTGTGATGAGCACCGCCTCGTCTTCGTGTGCGACACATTGCGCTACCGCTCACTACCCCAGTGTCACACGCTGCGGGCATCGGTTGCTCTGATCGCACTCCTGACTCTCCTTCCTGTACTCTCCTGCATCCACTCCTTGATCCGTTGTCGGAAATCCTGTTGTCCTGTGTTTCCTATGTATCTGACGCCTTTCTTCCGACCCAACCCCTCACTCGCGACAATGATAACACTTGCCGCGTGGCCATCACGCAAGGAGTAAAGGAAGAGGAGAGGAGATCGCAACACGGCTTCTCCTCGCGTTTCACTTGCCTCAATTGTGCGCCCATGGACTGGGCCGATTTCATGTTGGCGCGAACCGCAAAAGCCCCTGACGCATCCAAAACAGATCACAGAGTACCGTTTAGCACGCGAAAGCGCGACCGCTTTCTTTTCTTGCCGGCGGTTCCCAGGCTCTCCTGTTGCATTCAATGCGGATCGGCGATCCTCAAACGCTCCAGACCGGTCCGGGCGCATCCATGACGGGCACTCGAGGTCCGCTCCGCCTTGCTGATCGTTTCGTCTTCCCCGCGCCGCCGCGCCTGGACGCCGTAAGCGGCCGGCGATCCCCAGGCGGATGCACCGCCTGTCTGCTGCGCTGCCCTCATGGGTATTCCTTCATCCTTTACTCCTGCATTCACCTTCCCTCGTCCCACATCCGTGCCCCACTCTGTTCTCGTCCTCAACAGCACGACAGCCCCAGCACGCCACTCTGCAGTGTGTTAGGGAACCTGTTTTCTGCATCGGTCATTCTGGGGCTTGAGGGCTGCTACATCGAGGAACTCTCTGCACGATTGACTTTCGGTACGTTCCGTACATCCCGATAACCACGAGCGGTAACGCTCCCGAGCCGGTTGCAGTGCAGCCTTCCTTCCTTCTTCCTGCCTCCTCCTGCCTTCTTCCAGTCTGTCTATCACGGGGAAGAGTGGGTGGACTGTTCTCGGGTCTGGCGGTCGTACCGGTGTTCCGAGTACCGGACTGTTGCCGGCAGCACAGTGCCCGCTTCGGGTCAAACAGGGCACGAAAGGAGGTCACACCATCGTCGATTGATGCGTTGCTTATTGCGTGGCGTGCATCGTCTGCGTGCTCTACTGTCGAGAGACGTCGTGCACAACGCGATCGAATTGTGGGAACAGCGCGACCGTCATGTGCACTGCATTGAGTGGTGCTGCGTACGACAGCCCTACTAGCCCTGCACGTATACTGCTTATCCAGCCTGATCGGAGATCGAGCCAGGCCCCGGATTGCCAGACGCCTGGATTGCGATAGGGGAGCAGGTACGACGATACCAGCGCCGTGCCAGGCAGCTGACAGGGGGATCAGTGGGACGGCGGGCATCGGTCTGCCGCAATCTGTCGGCTGGCACAGGTAGCCGCCGCTTCCGCTTCGCCACTCCGTCGTCTTGTACACTGCACACTGCAACCCGCAACCCGCAACGTGCAACCTGTGCACTGACTGCTGCAAGTTCCAGCAAACAAGCAGCTAGCCGACATCTCGCCATGCCCCATTGCAGTCGTTGCAAGGTCTTGATAATGGGGTGCCTGCTCCTCATTCATGCGGTAATGCATGGCTATCTGAAACACTCGATACAATTCATCTGGAAGGCTGAAAGCTGATCGCTAGCGCTGATCCCAACTTGAAAAGGCTCAGTTACAATTCGGAGCGCCCCGATTGAGTTGAGTTTCGCTACCCACAAAGACTTCAGCGTGATGCGAGCACGCAGGACAGGACATACCGCGAGGTAAAGTGTGGTGGCTAGTTGTGGGCCGTTTGCGTCTGTTGGATTCACGAAGGCGGCGTACTCCTGCTGACGCACGTCGACGATCGCTGCAACGTGGTGCAGCTCGTGGCTGGGACCTGGCGGTGTCGGAGGCAGTAGTGAGCGTCGGAGCAGGAGCGGAGGAGCACCGAGGCAAGCTACATCGACCCTGGCCAGGCTGTCAGGCCCCAAGAATAGGCACAGGCACACTTTTCAGGACGAAACCAGTCTGACGAAACCCAGGACAAGCGTCTTCCCCTACGACCGGGTTCCTGGCGGTGCTGGCCACGCGGACGCAGCCTTGGGTCGTAGTTCGGACTGAACGGCGGGGCCAACGGGGTCCACCATCGACCGGGACGGCTGGGCAGCTGCGCGGGCGAGCGGGCCTGGCGGGCCTCACGGACACAGGGACCACCGGACCTGAACACGAACCTGAGGAGGGCCTGGCGAGGGACGTCGGGCCTGGTGAGGATCAAACTGTAATCGTAATTGCTTGGGAGATAGCGTCATGCACCGGATGCACCCCCGCCGCCTCCGCCCTGGTGATGTAAGCATGACCCCGCATGGCCGCCTCCCAACCCCCTCAACCCCTCACCCCCTCTTCTCGCCTCCTCGCTTAGCCCCTGGAGCCGCTCACGTTGGCAAGCCAGCTCGCCCAGCCAGCCCAGCCATGGCGCTCGCAGCCTTTGCCTGCAGCACGCAAGCGCTTGTTCACGAGCTGGTCATTCGTTGAGCTCCCGCGGTAGATTTGACGAGGTGGGCAAGACAATCCAGGAGATCTGAGTCAACTCACTCAGGAAGAAGGTGTACTCGATACGGATCGATTCCGCCGTTTTCCAACAACAACAAAACTGCGGGGACACTCTTCGGAGCAAACAGTTCTGCCTGTTTCTAACTCATGAAACCGCCGGTCACTCAGGCCAGGTCCAGCCGGGGTAACTTGTTGCTGCGATTGCCACGAGAGGTCCCCCTCGACTCCTTCCACTGTGATTCAATGCCACGGGTCAACCCTCCGTCCCTCCTCTATTGACAGAGGACTATTCATGAGACATTGCGTGCACTGCGAAGTGCGGCTGCGCAGACTGCGGAGAGGTACCGGTCGCGACAGACGTCCGACTCCTCCCTCGCTGAGCTTGCTCCACGACATGAATTGCACTTGCCTCTGTCGAGACCCCAGCAATCGCGATCACGATCGCCTGTCTCGCCACGCTGCTGTACCCCCCTGCCCTGCCCCGTGGGCCGAGGGCCGCGGACGCAACCGCATCTATCGCCCTGATCCCTCGTCGCGACGAGATAGCCGCAACCGAACCGCAGCATCGTGAGCCTGATACGATCGTGCGACGTGTGCTTCTTGCACCGGTACCTCGGTCCAAGCATCGGTTAAAGATAGCCTCGTCGATGCGACCCCGCCGCTCATTCCGGGTCTCCCGGAGTGCTCCCAGTAGGAGGAGTCTTCGTTTGCGCAAAAGCGAAGTAGAGCTATGCGAAAGCTCTCGGACAATTGCGTGCAGACGAGCAGCCATGCATTCCCAGCAGGCAGCCGCTCGCCTGCGCGTCCAAACGGCCGTCGGCGCATTCAACTCAACCATTACGTTAACGCCCAGGAGCTACAGCGAGGGCGCAGGAGCTGGAAAGGGCCCCTTCATATTGCGGCATGGCACTGGCAGCGCGCCTCAGACTCTTACATCAAGACGTAGGAGTTAGCTTTACCTGAGACCTGGAGTTGAGCTATCCTGGGCCATCCGCTAGCAGCCCCTCGACCCCGTTATCTGCAAGATTAGGGGGCGATTGAGGGACCTCTGGACGGTCTAGACGGAAGGGAAGCGGAGCACCCTCATTCATGCGATGCATTCAGACGCAAAACAGGGCTCAGCAAGGTGTGGCTCTGCGTCTCAACCCAGTAGCTTAGATCGGTGCACTGCCAACGTGTAAACACGATACGATGAGGTGGCAGGGGCGACTCTGCACGCGCGCGCGTACGAGAATCACGAGAACTACGAGAGCGTGATGGTAACGGTTTTGCGCTTTAGCTGGCGTCGTACTCCGCCCTCTCTGAGGGGCATGTCCTAATTTCTTAATTAATTCGCCTTGCGCCTGCGCCTGGGTTACTCTTGCAGGAAACTACCCCTCGTTCGCACGCTCCAGGATTGTGTCCAAATCCAGGACAGGTCCAGGATCACCAGCCTTAGCTCTCACTCACCCGTGGGCCGAAGCCAGAAGCGCGCGTGTAAAGCAAAGCTTCAAAGCAAGTGTGACGCGACCTGATCCGAGAGCTGGCCATCGTGCCCTCATAATCGGCTCCCACTCGCTCCCAAACACAAGCTCCATGGGTCCAAAGGACCTTAGGATCCAGGATCCCGCAGGATCAACAGGGGATCTTCGCATGACAGAATCAATCGCACGACGCGATGCGAAATGGGAGCAACAGAATACAGTCTGAATCACCCGCGGACCTTTCGCTTGCTTGTCCCTCGCGAGTTGCTCCAGTTCCTAGAAAGAGATATTCAGAGCAGACCGACCGATAAGGGACCATTGCCGCACGCTGCAGGAACTGCGTGCTTTGCAGGACACAAACAATGCTTCTAGGGACCCAAAGGAGGCTCACGCCGGCCCAAGACGGCAACATGACACGAGCTCGCAAAGTGTCCGCCTCGGTCTCGGCGCAGCCACGCTAGCCTTGTTTATCTCAAGTTGCAATGTGTCAAGAGTGCGTCTGCGTCGGCCGTCCCTTGCTCCGTCTTATCACCCCTTGCGGCTTCCTTGTGCTGCTTGTTCCATGCAGCCTTCGCATGCGTGCGACGTCGCGTAAGTGGCAAACTTCCGCGGCTGCTAGTAAGCATTGGGGCACATCCGGACCAGTCAGCCAGCACTGCAAACTCCGTATCCCGAGCAGCTCGTCTGCGCAGACGGAATTATGCATCCCCCGCGAACCCCGGCGCCCATTGCGGCGGCGCAGCTGTGCTGCTCCTCCGCGTCCCGCGGGGGATTTGCAGAATCCCCTGCATCCCCAGACATATCATGCACTAGATCTCTCGTACTCAGGATCGCCATAAACAGGATAGCGACGAGCACGCGCGAGCAGGCAAAGCTCCGCTACCACAGGGTATCCTTGACGAAAGCCAAGATCAAGGGCCCGCCCAGGCTAAGACTTTGGGGCGCAGGTACGCACGGCGCATTACGACATGTGCTCTGGCGAGGAGGGCGGCGAAGCGGACCGGCTTTAGGACACTGCAGACTTGATCACGGGGCTCGCATTCGGTCCGGTCGGCCCGTTTCGTTTCGGCTCCCCAGCTCTCGTCAGGTCCCCAAGCCCTCAAGTCCCTCAGAGGTCTTCTTCAGGCCCCATGTTCTGCGCCGCATGCGCGTCTGCGATCGCGTCTGCAGACGCTCCTACTGCAGGCGAGGTACTGGTAGAGCGAGGCGGCGCGCACTCCCGCATTCTCCGCCCTGGAGAGATAGAGTGCACTGTCCTCCCGCCCTCTTTTCCCTCTGTGCGCTTCTGCGGGAGCACGGATCGACGCTCAGCACTGGAGGAAGAGAAGGTGGTGCGGATTGCGGATCGGGATACGGGTTCACGGGCTGACTGACGGGTTGCATGCGGGCTCGGGAGACTGGCGAGTGGAATTCGGCTCTCGAGGAGTGGGACGGAGAGCGACGCGAGACATGCCGAGACGACCGAGCTTGCGTCGCACTTCGCGCAACCCTGTTGTTTAGTCTGTGGGTGCTCCACATGGTCCGCACCAGGCTTTGCTACTTCTGCACATGCACATGAGTGGCGCGTTCACGGGTCCAAGGACAGACGGACAGTTCCAACTGAATGGCTCATGACGAATCGGCTGGGAATTGGGAACCGACACATTCGATTGCGCTTCGTCCTCCTCCCCTCTCTCTTGCGCTGCGGCCCGCTACCTCTCGCCACCCACCACCACAGTGATGCCCACCTGCATCCGCACCGCGTATCGGGCTTAAGTCCACCCGTATCCCCGCTCGCCTGCCGTACTGCGTATCCGCAGCGAACAAGATTGTAAACAAATTACGAAAGCCGAGGCTGCAGGAAGAACGACAGGGGGGGATAGCAGGTGCCTGTAGATCCGCCGCTGATTGTACCTGATAAAGTCATTTGTGTCATGCTCTCTCACTGGTGCATCTCCGAGTCTCCGTCAGCTCCTGTTCTTTCCCACCGCCACGCCATCGTTCCTTGCACCATACGCTCAGAGTTCAGCTGACTGATGCGATGCAGTTGAAGGGCCTGGACAGATCGCGCCGGTCGGGACCTGGGAACTTGCGTGCAGCTGACCACAGTTGCGCGGTGCGGCCCGCTCGAGCGGGAGGAACAGCCAAAGGAGGCAAGGAGGCGACGGACCGAAGCTCCGAAAATGCGGCGAGCTCATGTCATGTGCACGTCTGGGAACGAGGCAAGCAACAAGCAGCGTACCACGTTCATCCGAATTGCCCGCGCCCGACGCCTCCTCGTCACCCCCACTTTCAACATGGCGAAGAGGAAGATCCAAGCTCTCGGACAATTGCGTGCAGACGAGCAGCCATGCATTCCCAGCAGGCAGCCGCTCGCCTGCGCGTCCAAACGGCCGTCGGCGCATTCAACTCAACCATTACGTTAACGCCCAGGAGCTACAGCGAGGGCGCAGGAGCTGGAAAGGGCCCCTTCATATTGCGGCATGGCACTGGCAGCGCGCCTCAGACTCTTACATCAAGACGTAGGAGTTAGCTTTACCTGAGACCTGGAGTTGAGCTATCCTGGGCCATCCGCTAGCAGCCCCTCGACCCCGTTATCTGCAAGATTTTCCGTCGCGGAGCAAGAAAGGTGACAGGGAAAAAAACACTCGGACTGAAAAGAAGGGAGGGCAAGGCTGAAGGCGTCCTGACGTACATCGAGGTCAAGTGACCGTTTCCAGGCTCCACCAGCGGAGCAAAGTCCGCGAGCGAGTTGCATCGGTTGGTCATCAGATGCACTTCGTCTGCGACAGCTGCGACTCCAGACTCGCCGACTCCTAAGAATCCTAGCTCTGACTTGCACTAGGCTGCGAAAATTGCGCAATGATAGGCGTCGTCCGTCGTCGCGTCTCGTCGGATGTACACACTGAACCAGACTACTTAGCGCCGCGCGCGTGCTCGTTTCCAGGATCGTTGTGTCGTTAGCGCCATTCTGCCACGTCCGCGACGTTTAGGGCAGTGAAACAACGAGTCGCAACCAACACGAGATCCGAGAGAGCGCCGAGTCGCCGAGAACGGACTGATGGCTGCGCGGCTGGCGTCATGTCCCGGAATCCGCACTAATTCTACTGACAACTAGCGCCATGGCGATAGGGGGTTACTTCGCCTCGACCTAGTCCGTGTGAGCAGTCGTGCTCCTGGAGCGTCCTACTCCTGGCGAGACAGCCAGTTTTAGCGCTGCGCCTCTCTGGCCCTCTCTGCACATCAGTAAATCAGCACATCAGGCACACCCTCCTTCTTTACTAAGAGATTAGCAGAGGCGCTAAGTGGCGTTCGGGCGTGCTCTGTGCCCCACAGGATAATGAGGCTTTTGCGCACTTGCTCCCTTGCTTTGAGCTGCCGCTAGAAATTTTCTTTACGAAAGCCGAACTGCGAACTTCGTGATCTTCGTCCTCGTTTCGAGGACACGGGCGACGGGCGCGCGGGGCCTGACATGGGGCTCAACGCCACGCCGAATAGTCTAGCCTAGGGACTATCGCGGCGCCAGGTGTGACTGAGGTACTATCGCTGGCTGGGGGCGTCGCTTAGGTACTATCAGAAGGCTGGTGTTGCAAGGGCAGGACGCCCCAAGACATTGCAAGGACAGTCGGGGAAGACGGCGCACGAGTCCTGCGAAGACACAAGACGAAGAGGAGATCAAGTGGTACACTGGGTGATACATCGCGCTGGTGGACGAATTTTGCTACGTTTTGGTGGTGTATGCTCTAAAAACCTACGGAGAAAACAGCTAGCAGGAAGCCAAGCTGCATGTGTTTGGGATGATGAGGATAGGGGAAAACATGCCAGACTCTTCGGGCTCATGGACAAGTGGACCATAGACCTCACGCTGAACGGCCGATGCTCGCTTTGACTCGTCGATTGAATGAAGACGGGGCGTAAGGGCGCGAAGCATTTTACCCCATGGCCAGGACAGACCAAGACGGAAACGAAATGATGCGGTGGAATCAGGTGACGGCTCAGTCGTCGCGAGCACGTTTCCGCGCGCTCTCGTCGCTGTCGGCCGCGCGCTTGCCTCCACGCTTGGCAGCGTCGAGGAACTGCTCGACACCGAAGGGGTCTGCCGCGCCGTCGAGGGACACAACGACGTCCTTCTCAAACTGCACGGGGCCGGTGCGCACCTCGGTCGGGTCCGCGCCCTCGAACTTGCCCTTGCCGAGCTGGAAGCGATCCTTGTCGAGCTCGGCGCGGATGCCCTCCTCGGTACCGCCACCAAAGGCCTCGTCGTTCCCGCCACTGTTCGTCGCAGGGCGGTAGATGGCCGCAGCAGCCGACGAGCCGGAGAACAGCGGCTTGTCGTAGACATTGTACGAGTCGTCGCCGCCGAAGCCGGTCGAAAGCGACTCGCGGTTGAACAGACGCGAGTCGAGGAGCGTCTCCTTTGACGCTGTCGGCTTGGCGAGACCGAGGGCAATCTTCTCCGAAATGTCACGATTCGCCTCGCGCGCAATAATCTTCGCACGCTGCTCCGAGCCCATGTTCGACATACGCAGCTCCTTCTCGCGCTCCTTCCTCTTCTCGGCACGGACAGCCTCACGCTCGCGAATGGCAGCCTCGTCCTCGTCAGACTCTGCGTCCGAGGCATCGGAGGCATCGCTGTCCGAGTCGCTTCCGCTGCCATATCCGCCAAGACCCATGCCGAGCTTGGCCGGAGCAGCGCCGCCAGCAATACGGTCGCCACCAGACCCGGAGGGGCCTCCATTCCGCTCTTCGCGCGCACGCTGCGCCATGAGACGGAGGTTCTCCTCCTTCTGCGTCTTCTCCTTCTGCGCGAGCAGCTGCTGCATCTGCGCACGAGCGCGAACCTCCTCGCGGGCGTGGCGGTCGGCGACGTACAGCGCCTCGGAGAACTTGGCGAAGTTGTCATTGATGTGAACATCCTGCAGTCCTCGTCCATCAGCAGCAAGGCGCTTGTCCAGCGGAACGGTGAAACCGTGGTTGTTCTTCCAGTTGGAGATACAGGGCGGGATCATCCAATCCTTTTGCTCTTGGGCTGTCGGAGCACGCGGCGGCGAGTGCATGACTGGCGCCGGCGGAGAGCCCGGTCCACGAGGCAGCTTCTTGTGCTTGAAGCGTGCCGGCTCAAGCGGGTCCTCCTGCACTTCCGTCATCTTGATGATACGCTGCTTTCCCTCGGCGCCAGCGTTTGCGGGCGTGTATCGGATGTACGAAGCATCGTTGTTTGACTTCGGGACGTGCTTCGGTTGGGCAGCCTTGATCTTGCCGTTCGTAATCTTCTCAAGAGCAGCCTTCGTCCTCTCGGTAACCTCGTTGATGGCAGCAGCGTCCGGTCGGATCATCGCGCGGTCGTCATCCGTCAGATCAGTCCTGTTCGCGATCGGAACAAGATCTTATGTCAGCCTTGCTGGTATGAGCGTACATACCTTTGAAGCTCGACTGAACGCGTGTTCCAGCTGCTCTTCCCTGCTGGGCAATCGCATCGTACCTCACATTTCCCTCGGCGTCAACCTGCAGAGCGACAGTGTTACCAGCAGAGGGCTGCGGTCAGCTTACTTCAGCGATCGACAGCCTACCTTCTTGCGGCCCATCTCCAAAGGATACTGCGCGACATGGCACTGAAGTCAGTTTGTGAAGCAATGTGAAAACTCACCTCGGGATACGCTCCTCCGTCTCCAAAGTCTGCAGCGGCCTTGGGCTTCCATCCCTTGCGCTTGCCGTACGGCGGGATGTTCGCGGAGGGCGCGGCAGGCAGAAGCGGAGCATCGTCGACCTCCTCGACCGTTGCGTGTACCGGAAGCGGGAGAGCACTGTCGTCAGCTTGATTTGGCTCGCGAGTAGCTTACCGAGCAAGAGCGGCCATGATGCTTTAGTTGCGAGCAGTGGTAGCTCCGCAGTGATGTCAAGATACTGGTCTGTCGATAGTTGAACCAACATGCACTTCGAGATCCTTGAGTGGCGACTGAATACCACGTGGCGGAGTCTGGCCAATCGCCGGGAGTGGCGGTCGGTTCCTAGGGTGGCAACTCACACGAAAACAAAGGACGCGTTGGTGGTCCCTGAGCATCCTCTGCAGGGCGACAGGGATGGGTTCATGTGCATGTGTCGCTGATAGCGAGAGCGAGAGTCGAGAGCAGATATGCTGTCACTCGCGCCTGATTTCGCACTCGCCAAAGCTAACCCAGCTGGCAACGTTGTCAGCAATCGGTGCTGCTGAAACGCCCAGTGCTGTCGTTGCGGTGACTTCCCTCGAAAAGCTGAAATGCTTACGGCTCTTCCGCGCTTGCGTTTCAGGTGAACGAGCACCGGTCAGCACCGCAAATCATCGGTGAAATTCACCTGTCCGCGTGAGCAACATCGGCCGCCAGTCTTCTGCGAGCACCGTTCGAAACCCATCTACCCGCGGTCACCTGTGCTGAGGCGCTATCTTATGCGAGGGGTAGCGGGCATGCTTAGTTCGTTCACAGCAGTGTGCTGCATGGGGGGGGGGAAGCAGTGCACGACAGATAATCGTTGGTCTTTAAAGCCGGTCCATAATCTAAGGCACGAGTTCACATATCAGACTGAATTAACTCCCGTGCCACGCATCGCTACCCGTCGCCCGTGGCCCGTGGCCCGCAGTCCAGCCCGCAGAGACCCCGCAGCAAGTAGTTGACATCCAACGTCGATGCCGTTGCCAAGATTTCTACATCTCCCTCACTCGTTCACTCTTCCACTTCTCCCCGCCCACACTCTTTCACCCTTCCATTCGCATTCATCCTCTCTTTAAAACGATCAGAGCCTGCGCTGGCTCCCGTCGCCGTTCACCATGTTCTTTCTCTCCGCGGCGCTGCCGCTGCTCGCCCTGAGCGCTGCCGCATCCTCATCTCAGCCGCATAAGCGATCATACGACACTCACTCCTACTACACCATCGAACTCCCGCAATCCTCCACCGAAGAGGCCGCCGCGCTGGCAGCTAGGTCTCTCGGGGCTGAGCTTGTCGAACGAGTTGGCGAGCTCGACGACCACTGGATCGTCCGCCGCGCAGGTGGACTATCCGTCCGCAGCATGGGACATGACCCGGTAGAGTCTCGGTTCCATGATCGGCGAGCGCCCAACGTTGCCTCAGTCACTCGCCTTGAACCCCGAAAACGCGTGAAGCGTGTCCTCACTCCGGAACACATGAAGTTGAAGCGTGGACCTCGTAGCTTCAAGAACTGGGATATGCGGGATCAGGGTGACCCCGATGCCGTGTACCCGGTGGAGGAGGTGGAGGAGGACCTCCGAGACACGTCCGAGCTTCAGTACCTCCAGAATCAGATGGGCTTCAAGGATCCCATGCTCGACCAGCAATGGCACATTGCGAACCCCGAAAGTAAGGAGTGGGAGCTCAATGTTACCGGTCTGTGGACGCAAGGTATCACTGGCCGCAACGTGTCCGTTGTGGTCGTCGATGACGGTCTTGACCACGAGCACGAGGACCTCAAGGCCAACTTTTTCGCCGAGGGCTCCTGGGACTTCAACGACCACACGAATCTCCCGACTCCTCGACTGAGCGACGACCAGCACGGTACGCGTTGCGCTGGTGAGGTCGCCGCCGGTGTCAACGACGCTTGCGGTGTCGGAGTCGCGTACAACGCTAAGATCGCTGGTGTCCGAATTCTCTCTGGATCGATTACGGACGCCGACGAGGCTGCAGCGCTCAACTTCGAGTACCAGAAGAACGACATCTACTCCTGCTCATGGGGACCTCCTGACAACGGCAAGAGCATGGAAGCTCCCAACGGTATCATCCTGAAGTCTATTGTCAACGGTGTCCAGAAGGGTCGCGGTGGCAAGGGGTCTCTCTTCGTCTTCGCGGCTGGCAACGGTGGCGGCGCCGGTGACCAGTGCAACTTTGACGGATACACGAACTCGATCTTCTCTGTCACTGTAGGCGCCTACGACCACGCGGGCAACCATCCTTACTACTCCGAAATGTGTTCGGCAATGATGATTGTTGCACCTTCCTCCGGTTCCTTGAACTACATTGTGAGTGTTGCTAAATTTTCGTGTCGCTAATCTAAAGCACACTACCGACCGTGGCAGCGGCAAGTGTGCGCACAACCACGGTGGCACGTCGGCTGCCGCTCCTCTCATGGCCGGTGTCTTCGCCCTGGCCCTGGAGGTTCGCCCCGAGCTGGGCTGGCGTGATGTTCAGCACCTTCTCATCCGCACTGCTGTCATGATCAACCCCGACGATGAGGACTGGGACACGACCGCCGCCGGAAGGAAGTACTCGTATAAGTGTAAGTGTATCCAGTATGCGGAGTGAAGGCTGACTTTGCAGACGGCTACGGAAAGATTGACGCCGGTATCTTCGTTGAGGCTTGCCGCGACTGGAAGCTCGTGAAGCCCCAGGCATGGTTCGACTCTCCTAAGATCAAACTTCCGTTTACCGAGGCTCCTCCTCTTCCTCCCGCTCCTTCCGAGGGCGGTGAATCCGATGGTCAGGTCATCCGTCGTGATGGCGATGACCAGGAGGACGACTCGGACGACGCCCCCTCCAACACCGTTGATGTCGATGTGCCCGGACCTCAGCCTAATGGCTCCTTCATCACCAAAGAGGGCGTCTCGAGCACTTACGAGGTAACCCAGGAGCTGCTCGACAACGAGAACTTCGAAACCCTCGAGCACGTGACTGTCCGTGTCTGGATTGAGCACGAGCGTCGCGGCGATGTTGAGGTCATCCTCACGTCCCCCAACGGCAAGGAGTCTGTTCTCGCTCGCCCCCGTCGTTACGACGAGGCTGGAACTGGTTTCAACGGTTGGAAGTTCATGACTCTCAAGCACTGGGAGGAGAACCCCATCGGCAACTGGACCATCACTGTCAAGGACCAGGGTGGTGCTCGCGGACGCTTCGTTGCCTGGGCTCTCCAGCTCTGGGGTGAGGCCAAGGACGCCAGCATTGCTACCGACTGGTCGCCGGCCAAGGCTGGTGAGATCGACGAGGAGCTCACCGGATCGGAGAACATGCCCAAGCCTAGCAAGCCCAAGCCTACCGATCACCTTCCTGGCGACCACGGAGAGGTCATTCCTTCGGGCGGCAACAGGCCCTCCAACCTTCCTGGCGAGAACCAGGCCGACGAGGGCGTCTTCAACGGCATGGACAAGCTGAAGGAGCATCCTGGATGGGTTGGCGGCGCTCTTCTTGTTGTCGTTGTCGCTGCCATCGGTGTCGGAGCGCTCTTCCTCGTTCGCAACCGCCGGCGCCGCTCTCGCCTTGGCCTCGACCGCGCCGCCTACGCCCCTGTCGCTGAGGAGGTCCCTCTCGGCTTCATGGAGCGCAGCCGCCAGCGTCTCGGCATGGGACGTGACCGCCGCGCTGAGGAGGCGAAGGAGCTGTACGATGCCTTCGGAGACGGCCCTAGCGACGACGACTCTGACGATGAGCGTGCCGCCCTGCGTTACCACGACTCATTCCTTGAGGACGATGAGCCTCAGGCGTCTGGTAGTGGAACGAGTGGCAAGCTCTCGCACGAGGACAGCGACAAGGCTCGTGACGATGACCAGCCCCCGGCATACCGTGACGACGACGGACCTTCGACCCCGCACGGCGAGAGCGCGGGCTCCAGCTCGAGCTGGCAAGATGCCGCCGACGACGTGCGACGAGACTAAGCACTACCCCATTTTCTCCCTCCTGCACCGAACCAATAGATAACGCATCCTGCTGTACCGTTAGAATGTACTCGCACTGGACACTAGACAAGGCATCGATGAATTTTTGATACACTATGATACAACATGCTGCCGTAGCTCTATGTCTCTATTGACCCGCCGTCGACACATCTCCCCAGCCAGTGATGCGCTCGCCGCCCGCCCACATGACATGGCCTCCGCTCTTTTCTGTCTCCGGAGCGCCTCCTTGCTGTTGCTGAGCCGGCTCTTCCGAAGTCGGTTCGATCTGCGCAGCTCGCTCCCGGCTCATCCAGTTCGACTTCGCCATCGGAATCGAAGAGCTGCTTCCGCACTCAAGGCACGACGTGACTAGCCGGCGCTTGTGCTGCTTCGATGCTGGTCGTCAGCTAAATGCACACCGAAGCTAGCTGCGAGAGGAGCGAACTTACGTTTAATGCGCACGCGCGCCGTCAGCCCAGGAACGAGAACGGTGCCGCACGAGCACAGCGATCGCTTCACGGCGGGATCACTGTATGTCAGCTTAAGGCGGACGCCTCGCAGCTATGCGATACTCACAGCTTGACCTGGTTGTGGACGGTCCACTTGCGCATGGACGTGACCTCTGCGCGGGACAGGTTGCCGAGCGGCTCCTTGCCTCCCTTCGGCGTGCGCTTCCGTGATCGCGCGACGGTCTTTGGGGCGTTCGTCGTCGCTGCCGCGGGCGGGCGCGTCGCTGGGGCCGGGTTCGCTGGGAGGTTGCAGTTGATGCACGGATGCGGTAGACTTTGTCGGCTGCGCCGGCTTCGCCTGCTTCGTTCTCGCCGTGGTCGTCGAAATTTCGTCGCCGCGACCCGCCCGGTTCACGCCAAGCTGGCGCAGGAGCAGGCTCGCCTGGATCGCATAGTTTGCGCGCTCGAGGTGGTCCTTGTTGTTCAGCGGCGGGGGACCGTCGGGCCTGGGCGGGCGCGGTTTCTTGGGCATGTCCAGAGTAAATGAGTGAAGGTTCAAAATGAGCAGGTCCTGATTTCTGTCACATTTGCCTGTGTCCCAGATTTCTGGAAGTGGAGGTTGTTTGTGCCTGAGCCCCCCCTGCCCTGCATGCTCTGGCATGTCACAAGCTCCTGCATGCCTCTGCACTATGTCACCCTCCCTGTTAAGATGACTGGATCAGTGCATTAAGCTACATGACCTGCCTCTGCACAACAACAAGATATACCTGTCCCCACCATCATCTGTTCGCTCGCCCAATGCGCGCAAGCCAAGGTGAGTTGCGCACCTGACCGGAGTCGAGCGGTCCAGTCAGGGAAGACGCTGTCGCACCGCCGCCTGCCCGCTCTTGCAGTGCGCGACGGCGATACGCGTCGCGCGGCCGTGTCCAGCAAGGGTGTCACCCTCCGACTTTCATCACCTCCACTTGTCGCGTACCTTCCCTCATCGCCTGACTCACTCCGCACTGCTTCAGCATCGCGATGCGCGGCCTCGGAGCCGTGTTCGGCCTCCTCTCGAAGCTGACATCAGGGAACGAGGACGACCCGATCTGCCTTTCGTCATCCGACGACGAGGCCCCGCCGCCCCCGCGCTCGACTCAGCAACGGCGACAATCGGCGCCCTCGTCCAAAGGAAAGGGCAAGCAGAAGGCGACTGATGACGGCTATGCCTCCGACGCATCCCATGCATCGACCAACTCGGACATCTCGCTCACGGACATTCTGAATAGCAGTCAGAATGCTCACACCAAGTCCAAGTCGAAGAGCGGCACGCCCAAGACAGGTGAGTGCTAACCACATTTCCGAGAGCTGATGACAGGAACACGCGCACGTAAGCCGTCTTCTTCCTCACCGGCAAAGGGCTCTGTCGACCTTACAAGAGACTCTGACGATGATCTGCCCTCGCACGCGACACCGACCGCCGGTCCGTCGTCAGCTCGGAAACCCTCTGCGTCGCAGACGCCGTCCCAGAAGCCGCGCACACCGTTTACTCAACCGACGGCGAAGGCCAAGCACCCCGGATCTGATTCGAAACAGCGCAAGCTCTCCGATATGTTTAAGGACACACACGGAGCAGGATCGTGGTCCAACCCGACTCCGCTGATCCCGGCGAAGCCGAAGCCCAAGGACAAGGAGCCAGAGAAGGAGAAGGCGAAAGCCCCTCCTGGACCACCGCCAGGAAGCTGGGGCAACCCGGAACCTCTCATCACTTCCACGCCATCGAAAGCGAAGCCAGCTCCCGTCGAGCCCACCCCGCCACCCAAGGCTGCGCCCCCGCCAGTCGCGCCCGGCAGCTGGGGCAACCCAGAACCACTGATCCCGAACCCGCCATCCCAGCGGAAGCGGGGGAAGGAAGACTCTGTTCCTTCTGATGCCGAGCCAACACCATCAAAGCCGCCGCCTAAGAAACCTCGCACTAACGTCACGAAGACGACAGCGCGCAAGAGTGTCGGCGGTCGTAAGATGATGGCTGCGCTTGCTGCTCAGCGGTCTACATCTGCAGCCTCGTCTCCTCAGCCATCATCATCTCGGGACTCACCAGCGTCACCTGCGCCGCCCGCAGTCCCCTCGCCAGCCAGAGCTGGACCCAGCTGGAACACGCAGCCCGATCCTGCTCCGACTCGAGCTAGGGAATCGCCAATTGCATCGGCAAGCGTGCAAGCACCTCCTGCTGTGGAAGAGGACTACGAAGCGCCAGTCCTGTCGGACCTGAACGACACCGAAATGGCGGCAGGCTCACCACCGCCCCTCCCTCACCACCACTTGCACTGCCGGATGATGACGATGACGACTTCGTTGATGCCGCCGACGACCTGCAGCTGCCGAGTCTGGTTCCTTTCGCCTCTCAGAGAGCTGCAGCGGATTCGCCTACAGCTGATGCGACCCCGAGTGCAGGTGCCGACCCATTATCCTCCACACTCCCGCCAGCCGCCCAAACCCTTGCCAGTCAGGAGCGCCACCGAACACCTCCGCCTGCGCAACTCGATGCCGAGATGGACGAGGACGAAAGCGAGGAGAGTGCGGAGAAGGCCGATGAGGATGCCTCAGGCTTCCAGCTCCCCGCTCTGCGCCCTCACAAGGGCAATCTGTCGTCGACGAGCGAGGACGGAGACGTTATTCGGACGCCAGAGGACGACGGCGAGGAATCGGAAGACGACACGGTCACACGACCAGTCATCGAGGTGCCTCCCGGCGACACCGAGGATTACATCACCAACGTGATCAATAATCCCGGTCGGAGCATCGATGTCATTCTCGGCCCTGATCCACCGAAGGAGCCCTCCGTCGTCGTCCCGTTCGGTGGACAAGCTGTACCCGTCTCCGGTGTCGCTCGCCGTCTGGAGCAGCCACCGGAAGGACTGCGAGGGAAGGCGCGGCGCGAGGTCAGCGACGAGATTATCGAGTACAACATCGTCATGCGCAACCTCACTAGCAATCCGGAGCTGCAATGCGAGGTCTTCTCGGGCTACATCGGGCAAGCGACAGCGCACGACGAGCCCTTTGCGCCCGAGATCCGCGTCGTCAACAAGGTCGACAACCCGGGCAAGCCGCCTGCGTTCGAGTTCGTCTACTCCAACGAGATGCTGTATCATGAGGGCGTCCCGGACCCGGAGCTCGGAACGGGCTGCGACTGCGAGGGGCCCTGCGACCCCAACTCGAAGACCTGCAGCTGCGTGAAGCGCCAGGAGCTGTACTTCTACGGCCTCTCGGGCCTGTCTGGATTCGCGTACGACGAGAACGAGCGGGTGAAGAACACGGGCTGTGCGATCTGGGAGTGCTCCGAGACCTGCGGATGCCCACCCGAGTGTCTAAACCGTGTTATCTCGCGAGGAAGGAAGGTCCCGGTCGAGCTGTTCAAGACGGTAAGTTACCGTCGTCATTTTCGTCAACTGACTCCAGGCTTACAAAGGATGGGGAGTCAGGGCGAAGACGGACATCCCGCGTGGACAGTTCATTGGCGTGTATGCGGGTGAGATGATCCCCGACGCCGAGGCCGAGTCACGCGGTATCCAGTACGAGAAGCTCGGCCGCACGTATCTCTTCGATCTTGACGGCTGGCACATGAGCAACCCGCCCGAGGGGCTCGAATTTGTCGACCCGCGCCTCTACAAGACGGCGAGGGAGACAAGGCGGCGCGCGAAGCGGGCAGAGCGCGAGCGCACAGATGTCAAGCCGGCGGACGGGCTGCTGTCTGGGACGTACAGCGCATACTCGGTCGACGCCTTCCACACGGGCAACTTCACGCGGTTCATTAACCACTCGTGTGACCCGAACCTCTCCACCACTCAGGCGTACTTCAAGGACTTCCACCCGGAGCGTCCTTGCCTGGTCATTATTGCTCGCCGCAACATCCGCCAGGGCGAGGAGCTCTGCATCTCGTACAAGGGCGAGCCTGAGGACGAGCCGGACAGCTGGGCCGTGCCCCTCAACCCCACGTCGCACAAGCAGAGCAAGACGAGCGCCAAGGCGCACTTCAGTCCCAAGAAGGTCTCGGCCAAGGACGACCATTGTCGATGGTGAGTTGTCTTGTTTCGATGTTCAAACTGACGCACAGCGGCGCATACAACTGCGACGGCAAGATGTTCGGATAGCCACATTCACGTTGTACATTAGCACATTTGATTCGCTTCGATTCTCCCTTTCAGCACATTCTACGACCCATCGTCGTGTAGCAGGCGGTTCTATTCGCAAAGCATGCATTCATCTAAAGCGCAACAGTGCGCATCACATCGCCGCAACGGCATTCTTCAGACTGGGCACATTACGCTCCGTCCCATCGCCGAGCGTGACCTTGAGCGTGTCTCTGAGTTCGCCAAGGAGCGCCTCCGCCTCAGCGAGCGCGTCCTTGTACTCGGCGTTTGCCTGCGCCATCTCGGCCTGCAGCTCGGTCAGGCGCGCAGCCTGATTGTCAGTTTGACAAGCAGTGCGCAACTTACCCGACCAGCACTGTCGTTCTTGCTCGGGAGAGCGGCGATCAGCGTCTCGACGTCCTTGGCGCGGCGGACTATGTCTGCGACAAAGGTCTCGATCGCAGCTGGAGGTCAGCTCAATGCGAAAACTGTTAAGCTGGGAGGTGCAGGATGCCGCGTCGTCAGAAGAAGGGGTGAGACAGAAGGGTCTGGAGAATGCTGCTGCACCGGTGCTTTAGACAGCCGGACACATTTCCACCGCTGGCAATCGAGGTCACTTAAAGAAGCAGGAAAGGTGTCGGCGATGAAACGCAGTGCGAGATGCGGGCCAGCTGTCGAGGATCCCCACACAGCTGGAAGGGCAGTGGGCATGGTGAGGGTGAGCAACACTCACTCCTGTACTCTTTCCGCCTGGCCGCGCGCGCCGTCGTCAGCGTGGTCGGGATCGCGGCCGACGTCTGCTCAAACTGCGTGCGGTGCGTGATGTACTCGATGGACGCGGACGTGATCGTCAGAAGCTGCTGTCAGCTCGAGCCTAACAACGCGAAGCTTACATCTAATATGGCATCTTGCAGCTGGATGTTAGCTCGTCCTAGGAACTGGGGAGCTGAAGGACTGCCTCCTTCTGTTCCTCTTCTAGTCTTCTCAGTACCCCTTCCATTCTCGCTCTCCGAAACGTGAGGCCGAAGAGACGCTGAGGAAAGACTGATGAGGACACAGCACCCGCACACGCACCTGAGTTATCCTGTCCTGCTTGTTAGCTGCAACCGAGCAGGATCAGCTTACCATATCAGTGGATAGTTCCTCGCTGAGCATCGCGTGCCCGGGCCATGGGGTGCGTTCGCCGCGAAAGGAGTGGGATGGGGGGAGGATGGCCGATTGCACAAAGCCAAGACTGTATGCGGGCTAACAATAAATGACGACCTCCACTGTCGAAGCATGCAGCCGGGCGCACGGAAGCTGGGCCCGAACAGTCCAGGCAGGATTGGAAAGCGTGCCTGAAATCCAGCCTGGGTGACGGGCTGAAACCACAGGCCAAGCCCAGGCTAACGACGGGCTGGGCGCCTCCTGTCAACAAGGCTGGCTGCTCTTTCGACAACCACCTTCCAAGTCACGAGTCACGCTCTTCCTTTTGCCTTGCAGATACCAGCCCTCCCCCCTCGACTGCTTCTGCGACGCACACGTCCTCGCTCTTCGTCACGCCGAAACTTTTCTTCATCCCTCAAAACCACCCTACCGACGACACCGACGACAGCCGCGATCAAAACAAACAAAAGGGGCCCGGCCGCTAGACATCCCTTCGGCGGTCTCCACTTCACTCCATCAGCCCTTTCACTCTATCGGGACACCCTTCCCTCCTCCTCTCGGCCACTAGCCCGGTGTGCTTTAGTTTTGGAACTCCGCGCTGAGAATCAAAATGGGTCGGGGATCAGAAAAGGACGACCGCGCGACGTACGACAAGTTCGCGGCTCTGTTGTCGCCTCCGACACAGGGGCAATCGCGACACCGCTCCAACTCTGAGATTGCGGACGGTATGAAGCGCATTCGACGATTAATTCTGACTGACGGGATCCCGGAGGTCGTGAGTGCAACCAAGCTGAACCGAGAACTGCTGACGCTAACAAACAGGAGGGCCGCCCGTCACTTCGACCGCGGATATGGAAACTGCTCCTCCGCGTCGAGCAGTTGCATGCTGAGGATTACCTCAGGTATGTGGCGCTGGGCCCGAGTCCAGCGTCGGAGAAGAGTGAGTACATCAAAGGAGACGAAATGAGCTACCGTATGCCCTGTGTAGCTGACCCCAGTCAACCACGACACGTTCCGCACGCTGAGAACCGACGCCGTGTTCAAGGACCGGGTGAAGAACGACATGCTGGTGCGAGTGCTCGACGCATACGAGTGGAAGCACGCCGTGAACGACCGCCAGTCCTACGTGCAGGGCATGAACGCGCTGGCCGCGCCGTTCCTGTACATCATGCCGAGCGAGCTCGAGGCCTTCGCGTGTTTCGCAGCCATGATGGAGCGCGGCTGCCCGCAGTACGTCCAGCCGGACCTGCGCGGCGTGCACCGCGGCGTCGAGATTCTGGACCGCTGCCTCCGTATCGTCGACCCCGAACTCCACGCTCACCTCGAGAGTAGGGACCTCAAGGCGACCGTGTTCGCGTTCCCGTCCGTCCTCACCATGTGCGCGTGCACGCCGCCGCTTGACGAGGTGCTGCAGCTCTGGGAGTGAGTATACCGATCTCTTCACCCTATCTCTTTTGCTACGCTTCCACCGAAGCTGTGCACAGAAGCTCGACAGCTAACTCCAGCTTCCTCCTCGCGTTCGGCGTCCACCTCAACATCCTGTGCATCATCGCGCAGCTCCTCCTCATCCGCGAAGAGCTGATGGAGTCGCACTCGTAAGTTATCTTTCGTCCTCCCTGAACTGACATCAGCCCGATGAAGGTCCTCCGCCAGTTCCCGCCGCTGCAGGCCCGTGCTGTTATCGGCATCACGGTCGCGCTGGTGAAGGACATCCCAGAGGACCTGTACCGCGAACTCGTCGCGCACCCTCTCCAGCCGTCGAACAACCAGTACTAATCACAACGTACCGGACGCTTGTATCATCCCCCAGCACTGTAACAATACCCACAATGCATTAACGACTGTCACGACTTGCAATACGTGGCGCTGTTCTCGCGATAGACCGGAACGTGGAGTTGACTGTAGAGGAAGCAGTGTTGGAAGCTCTTCAGGTGACGCTCACAACAGTTCATAACTAAAGCTACAACCAAGAAACGTGTACCCAACTTCGCTACAGAGCAACAGACAACTAGATCCTAAGATAAGGATGGCGCCACCAGGAATCAGGCAATCGTCCCCGCCTCTTTGGCAACCTGGAGCACGAACTCCTGCACATAGCGATTGAGCGCCCTCAGCCCTTCCTCCTCGATAGGATAGTGTCCCGCCCCCGGTAGTGTCTTCTTCTCCACCCTAACCTTGTCAATCTTATCAAGGAACAGCTCGCTATACTCGAGCGGCGTCCAGCGGTCCTTCTCCGGCTGCGTCAGGAGGATGGGGCACACCGTGAAATCCTCCGGCTCGATCTTGGGCGCGTATCTCGCATAGCTGGCCAGAAACTTGAGCGGCACGCTGTTACCGGCGGAGGTCGTGTCGCGGAAGAAGTCTTTGAGGGTTGGCTTGTCGTTCACGAGTGCCCACATCTTGCTCACGGCCGCCATGGGGATGCGCAGCCCTGCGAGACCGGCCGAAGAGGCGGCGCCGGCGATGGGGTACCCCAACTGCGCGACGGCGGGGAGCAGCGCCGTGCCGTCGCGCACCTCCCTGATGCGCTGGTCGAGGAAGGTCATGCCGACGATCCCCTTGACTTTCGGATTTGCCGCCGCGACGTGATACGCCAGCATGCCGCCCGCGCTCAAGCCGTACAGCACGATCGGCCTGGTGTCGCGGGCCAGCTCGTAGTCGACGAACGCAGCGCCGGCCGCCACCCAGTCGTCATAAGACACAATGTGACCAGGTGCGACTCGCGTCACGCCATACAGCGGCATGTCGGTTGCGACCGTCTCGGCATGCGCACTCAAGGGATGGCCGAGGATCGTGCTCATCTGCCGCCCGTTCGTGCCCACGCCGTGGAAGAGGAACACCTTCACCGGCGCACTGGGGTTGGGGTACCTGTCCAGATGGATTTTGTGGCCGGACCAGTCCCACCATTCCTCGCTGGGCAGGGTTGAGGCGTTCAGTTGATACGAGAGCGGAAGGTGGGACTGGATCACCTTCCAGGCTTTCTGGTCCTGGTACCCCGGGGGATTGGAGGGGGAGAGCTTGGGCGCCGGACTGAGGGGCGCAGTGGGCGGATCGAAGGGCGGAGTTGGTTCGGCGAGGGTCGAGTCGCCGAGCTTGTCGACTGGGGCGCCTGTGGCGGCCGAGGCGCCCGCGATGAACGGCACGAGGTTTCGGAGGCGCATGTTCTTTGGCGGACGGGGAGGGGGCGGTACGTCGTTCATTATGTACCGTGTTCTCGGGTCGTTAGATACTGGGGAGAGCCGTCAGAGAGTCAGTGTAAAGTGGACATTGAGCTTGAGGTCGAGACGAGCGGGGACGCTCGTGATGCCGCCTCGGAATGGACAGGTGCTAGCTGCAATGGGCATGGTGTGGCATGGGATGGGGCATGGCATGGTGGATGCATGAAACGGACTCTCTCTCTCTCTGTGTGTGTGCTGTGGGGCACCCGGCAACGTCCGCGGCACCTAGCAAACAGGCTAGGCTACTCCGCCCAAGTCCACTCTAGTAGCCTGGCAAACCCGGTCAGGATTCATAGCCGGTGCCACTACTGACGACGCCAGTCTGCATCCCAGTCCTCGTCCTCCTCCACTGGTGCCGGGCGAGGGGGAGGCATCGGCTCAGCAGCCTGCTGCAGCGCACGCAAGTGGCGCGGCACATAGGTTTTCTGTTGAACTGGCGCTGAGGCTGGAACGCGGCTCTGAGAGAGCGGCGTCGGCTCCCACGTCGTCACCTTTGCGCCGCCAGTGTAGCTCGTGCGCCCGGGTGCCAGCGTCAGGCGCCGCTTCCCGCTGTTCGCCGGGTAGGTCGGCTTGGGCTGGTACAGTCCGACGTAGGAGCCAGTAGTCCTCACGCTCTGGTGTGGCTGGGAGCGAGGTTGAGGCTGGGTGTACGGTGGTGCAACACGAGGCGGTTGGGGAGGTTGCCGCTGCTGAGAGCGCGGACGGATGACTTGGGCTGGCGAGGAGAACTTCGGAGTCAGGACATGTGGCAAGGGTATAGAGGTGAAGGAAGGACGAGCCACGGACCGGAATGGGAGCGGACGGATCTGAGGTGGTTCCCCGGGGGAATTGAAGGCAGGCGGAAGGGGCACTCGGGCAGTGGCAGGATGAGGTTGAGGTTGGTAGCCCGTGCCGGCAGTATCGTTAAGATTGGCAGTTGGATGAGATGTCGAATGATTTGAGAGATTTTCGCTGAGCTGGCTATACGAAGGCGTCTCAGTGGCGGCAGAAGAGCCGTTGAAGCGGAACTGGGAGAGGCGCTTCGATGTGGGGATTTGCGTGGGCGTGCCGAACGTTACGGGCGACGGAGACTCGACTGGATCTTGACTCGTCAGCTCCGAGGTCCATCTAAGAGCATTAACACCACTTACCTGCGTAGGCTTGGCCGGTCGAATGGTTGCGGTTCAGCTCAGGTCGGCAGTCGGCTTGCTCGTGCAGACTGTACCCCTGGGGAAGCTGCTCGGCCATGTCCTCGAGCAGCTGGATATGCTCGGGACGTTTCTCCGGCGTGGGCTCCCGTTCAACGCGCCGCACAGTGGAAGGCGTCTTCAGAGTCGTCACTGCACTGGATGCGTAACCGCTGGCACCGGGCTGCACAAGAGACGGTGGTGGCGTCTTAGGTGCCTGTGGTGCCTCGATGCCTGTCTGTGGAACATCATCTTCTTCGACAGACGGTGGGCTCGAGGCGGTGTGTCGCTGTTCCGCAGCGGAGGAAGAGGGTTGCGGAGGGGCGTCGGGGGCAAGCCATTTCTGCAGAGAAGGGACTGACGAAACAGAGCTTCTAGAAGACCTGGATGACTCATCTTGGGGCTGCGACCGGCCAGTCTTGCGCGTGGTACGAATCACGCGAGCACCATGGCCTGAGACGATGAGGTTGATATCGGGTTCGGGTTTCTCAGCTTTGGTAGGAAGTGAACGTTGTCTGGCCAGACCCGCTATGATCGGGAAGTTTCTGCTCTCGTCCGAGTCTCGAGCTTAACGTCAGCTCGAAGGACACAATAGGAACTCACGCAGTCTGTGGAACGAGATGTCATCGTCCGCCTTTTTCTTAGGTGCCTTCTTCTTTGAGGTGGATGTGGAAGAGGTCTTCTTGACTGTGGACGAGTTTCTCAAGGACAGATTGGCGTCACGGGGAAGGCGATTGCCGCCGATCTGCTTGCAGCTCCCACCGTCGTCGGCCTTCCTTTTCGACTTTGTGACAGGAGGGATCGATTCGCCGTGCCCGTTACTCCACCCCTTCTTCCGCTTAAACGTATCCTCTGGCACGGACGCCTGCGCCTTCCTCGCGCTTGCTGGGCGCACATTCCCCGCAGGTCGGATGGTGCTACCTACTGATGAAGTCTTGCCCTTCCCTTTCTGAGCAGCAGATCGCTTCTTCGACAGGGAAAACGGATTCGCGTCGGGCACGACGGCCGTGTCCTCCCGAGTGCTGAGGTCGAGTCGCCTGTTGAGATTGGAGGAGCGAGGGAGGGCGGAGGTGGCGTCGTCGTTGTCGTCTGAATCTGGATTGTCCCGAGACATAGGACTGGACGGCGGAGATGGTGAAGGGGAAAGGAAGGACTTGGACCAGTTTCGTGCCCCCATGGCGGCGCCCGAAAGCGAATGCTAAAACTACCAACAGTTAGTGACCGAAGGAAGAGGACGAACATACCGTGGTCGCTGAGCACACCGGAAGACAGCGAATGATGAGGAGCTGGGTATCAAGCAACGCATTGCTGCAATGCAAACAAGGGGCGCACGCCGATCGGCTGCACACGTATGATCGCGTCCGACAGGGCGAGGAAGACACCTCTCAGACACCACCTCTGCCACACCGCTGTTGCGACCGAGTCACGTGACTCACACCCTCGTTCGCGTCCACCATGCGACCGACTAAAGTGGATTGTTGTCAACTTCGCTTCACACCTTTGCTGACCTCCATCCACGCTCATCAACCCGGCACACGAGCTGTTCACACCCTCGAGGGAAACCACTGATACGCCGAGCCCGCCATGTCCGACTCTCCCGCACAGCCTGCGGGCCAAAGCAGTGGGATGCCGCGCGCCGAGCCTCAGAACCTTCCCCCGGCCGTGATGGAGTTCCTGCAACAACATGGATACGACAAGATCCTCCAGGCACTGCAGGCCGAGATGCAGAGCCGAGGAGCCGAAGGAAAGGAGGCGGATGGTGCACCGGCGGAAGGTGCAGCTGCCGGGGAGGCTGCTCCGGCCGCTGCAGCTGCTGCCGCTGCGCCTGGAGCGGAGGCGATCTTCAGAGCTCCCGAGCCCATTGCGCTCGACAACATGGTCAAGAGGAATATCCCGCAGGCAACGACCGTGTCGGTATCAACAATGTCTGACAAGATCACTCCCGACTTCATCGCGCAGGCGAAGTACGTCATCGACCAGCTTCAGACGCGTCTCGAGGCGGCCAACGCAGACGAGGAAGCCGGGAAGCCTCCGCAGAATCCCGGTGCTTTTATCGACCCCTCTGACCGTGTCGAGGGATACAAGAGGTACAGGAGATGGGTTTCGGAGGGTTTGGATCTTTGGAGGGTGAGCTTTTTCGGAGTCGCCATCAGCTGACCTCAGTTTGAACTCGACAATGTATCGTTCCCATTGTTTGCGCATACATTCCTGGACTTGATCGACTTTGGATTCACGGATGCTGGTGAGTGAGGATGTGTGACGTGGCTGACGTCTCCAGCTTTGCTGTTCTTCAAGGAGCACTCGGAGCACCACAAGCTGTACCACCCCTCCGAACTGTCGTACCTGTCCGCTATCAGTGCACCGCACCAGATTCTTCTTGACCCGTACTGCAAGCGACTGCGATCAGAACGGTACCAGGTGCCGATGTCCCGGAATTCATACGCCCTGCTAATCCAATGGCTTTCGGGAGCTAGCTTGGACGAGGAGTGGGAGGCTGGCTTGCACAGCGTGCCCGGCCGAGCAAAGGAGGCCATCCGTGCGATCGTAAACTCGCGTCTCGACATCAAGGTGTCGGACTCTGCGATGCCTCTGGACAAGATTGCAATTGCATCTTCGAGCGGTCTCCTCGCCAGCATCCTCCCGCCCGGCCAGTCGCCTGAGAAGTTCAACTCGCAGACATCGCTCAAGCTCGGTGCTCCTCACATGCTGGAGAAGCTGCGGGAAGAGGTCATCCGAGTCATCCGGGAAGAGGACGAGGCCGCTGAAGGCGGCGAGGGTGGTATGGCGAATGGGCACGCAAACGGTGTCGACGCCAATGGCGACGTGGAGATGGGCGACTCGCGGGAGCCGGGCGCGATGTCACCGTCGAAGAAGATCAAGATGGAGCTGGACGAGAGCCGGGATCCTGACCTTGTGCGACCAGACCCCTCAGAGACGCTTCCACCGCAACCGACATTCTACAAGGTTACGGACGTGAAGCGGGAGGTTGAGGCTGTGCGGGACAAGCGGAAGATGATCCGTCTCGGACCGAAGCCAGAGGAGGCCGAGGGCTCGCCGGTGCTCCCGAGTATCGTGGCGTTTACGATGTTTGACGGAGGAGAGAACATTTCTTCGGTGACGTTCTCACCAGACTCGTCGCTCATCGCCGCCGGTTCGTCGGAGAGCAGCATTCGGTTGTGGAGCTTGAAGAACGAGAAGCTGAAGGCCAAGTCGATCGATCCGAACACTGGCAAGCTGGTCGAGGACGAGGGACTGGCGATGCGCAAGCTCATCGGTCACTCTGGGCCAGTATACGGCCTGTCGTTCGACCCGATCTCGGGCAGCGGAGGACCACCTCACGCCCTTCTGTCGTCATCCCAGGACGGCACGGTTCGATTGTGGTCGATGGACACTTACTCCAACCTCGTTGTGTATCGAGGGCACGGACGAGAGCCAGTGTGGGATGTTGAGTGGGGACCGATGGGTGTCTACTTCGCCTCGGGAAGTCGCGACCGAACAGCGCGCCTTTGGAGTTCCGACAGGGTGACGCCGCTGCGAATGTACACGGGCCACCTCTCCGACGTGAACGTAAGTTATGGGAGCGACTCTGTAAACTGACAACAGTGCGTCAAGTTCCACCCGAACTCGCTGTACCTGGCGACTGGCTCCAGTGACGACTCCTGTCGCCTGTGGGACGTGCAGCGCGGCTCGTGCATCCGCCTGTTCCTCGGACACACGGACGCGGTGACGACAATGGCGATTTCGCCTGACGGACGGACGCTGGCGTCGGCCGGTCTCGACGCTAGTATCTACCTGTGGGACCTCGGATCTGCCCGGCCAATCAAGAAGATGACGGGCCACACTGCGCCGATCGAGTCGCTCTCCTTCAGCGCTGAGTCGAGCGTCCTCGTTTCGGGCTCGCTCGACTGCACCGTCCGCTGCTGGGACGTGAGGGGTGCAGGAGGGCCGCGCTCCAGCAGCATGGACGGCCGTCGCTCCGGTGCCGATTTGACCAGCGGCGCCGCGGGTACGTTACCCATGGGCCCTGGTGAGATGAACTGGGAGGACATGAACCAGACGTGAGTTGGACATTCTAGAACGTTGAACTGACATCCAGCGCCGACCTGCTCTCGACCTTCCACACGAAGCGCACGCCCATCCTCACGACGCACTATACACCGCGCAACCTGTGCATGGTTGCGGGCTCCTTTGTGCCTCCGGCGAACAAGGCGGCATAATGTTTCCCGGTGGTAGCAGACGACAGGATGATCTACTAGAGTAGACTATGCATAGTTGTACAGGTGGCTACAGATCCCTAGTCGATCCTTCTATTGATCCTTCTATTGATCCTTCTAATTTTACTCCTACTTCTTCTTCTTACGCGGCTGGAGCATAGTGACAGTCTCCTCCTTGCGCTTCTGCTCGCGCTGGACGCCCTGCTTCGCCGCAATAGCGCCGAAGCACGCATCCCACCCCTTCTCGCCGATGGCGTCGACGACGAGCGACTTGGTGGCCTGCGTCCAGAAACTCGTGCCGCTGGACGCGAGCTGCCGGTTACCAAAATCCGTGTTCAGCATTGAGGTGAGAATACGCTCAACGAGGGCTGGAGGAAGCGTGTGGGCGTCCTTCCCGGACGCTGGCGGCTTGGAGCTGTCAGACGACTCGGGCTTGGAGTCAGGCTTGGACTCGGCGGCGAGCTGCTGAGCCTCAGCGGCCGCGACAAAGGAGGAGGCATCTCCGCCCTCTGGATCCGGCACGACGAGGACGTGGAAGAAGCCCGTCACGTCGCCACTGGCGCATTCTTGGCGGAATCCCATGCGCTCCCAGAACTCGTCGGTCGGCACTTTTTCCAGCGCCGCGTACGCTTTGCGGCGTTCCTCCTCCTCGGCCTCGGTCTCGCGCTCTTTCCGCGACAGCTTGGCCCTCTCCTTCTCCTTGTCGTCCTTCGGCTCGCCATTTGCGTCGCTCTTCTCGCCGTTCTCGTCCTTTGAGTCCTCGGGCTGTTTGGCCTGGGAAGACCGCCGCCGCTCGCGCACGGCGTACGGCTCTTTGTCGAGCGCGTCGTCGACGAGTTCCTCCAGGAAGCGCGTCTTCGGGTCATCAGGCAGACTGGGAATGAGAGTAGCGAGAGATGTGCCGGGGAGAATGCGGTGCGTGAACGGCGGCTTGTAGTCCCACTTCACTCCTGCTGGCAGGGCCGACGCAGCGGGGAGCATGCCCCTCGCCTCTGCCGCCGAATAGCTTGGTAAGAGGTACGAGAGCTCGACCTGTCTCGGCTTGACCACTGGTCCTTTCTTCGCCTCGACGACCTTGCTCGCCGCATCCTCGAACACTCGCTTCCACCACCCGCAAAGTCCCAAACCGCCAAGGACACGCTTGCCACCGCCCTCGACCGAGTTCGGGAACAGATACTGCCCCTGCGCTCTCGCGAAGAGGGTAGCGGCAACGGTTCCCGGCGCTTCGAGGAAATAGCTGATGAACGACGAGGCGAGCACGCGCGTCAGAGGCCCGCAAGCTGAGGCGTACCCTGAAGAGTCGACCTTGGAGATGTACACGAGCTCAGCGGCGGAGTTCGGGAGCGTGTAGACGTGGGCGCTGATCGCGGCCGCGAGCACTTTGCCGCCGTTGGTGCTGTCCTTTCCGCCCTCGGTACCGCTCGCACTTTTCTCGCCCTCCACCGTGTTCGAATTGCTTGAGAGACCAGTGTCGTCAGGAAGCGCGGGAAGGCCACAGCTCACCACGACGAGATACTCGCGGTCGACGCAGCGGACGGCAGCGCTTGGAGCATGGGGAAAGATCTCGGTCGTGCGTTTCGGGGCAGACTGGAGGACGACGAGGTCTAGCGGCACCGCGTTTGGGAGCGTCTGCAGTGCGGAGAGCAGCGTGTCGCGCAGACTGGTGTTAGCTGAGTCATCGACAAATGTGCAGCTTGTCTCTCTTTATTTCTTCCCGTTCTCTCGTCATTCATCATACCAGCCAGCTGGGTGCCGATGCCGACTCCTCCGCGGGCAAGGTAACCGCGCTGCCAAATGCCGTCGAAGGATTCCAAAGGACTGGAAAGAGCATGATACACTTACGAAGGTCGTGCCATCCTGCACTGTTAGGTCTGAGGAACTGGGCCTATCTGTTCGTGTTGAGGAGCTGACTGGCGAAGGCAACGAGCGAAAACAAATGCACGGACGCGGTCGTCGTGAGGACGCGTCGAAACGTCATGTATACCGCTTTACGTAATCTGGAAACAGTCACTCTCCCACGATCGAGTTTGTTTGGTCCCGAACTCTGGACAATGGGACTGAGAAGCGAAAGAGCAGCGGCGGAGTTGAGGCGACTCTATCTTCCTCGAACATTCTGCGGTACAATGCTCCCCCCCCCCCTCTAAAGGCATGAACCAAGCTATCACATCCAAAATCCCGACTCGCAGTACAGGCTCTGGAATGGAACTCTGGCGGCCTCCTGCATGTCTGCAGCACAGTATTCTGCGCCGCCATCCCAGCTATTGTCCCTGAGTCCGTCCCCGACGTACGCGGTCGATAAACGCAAAACGAAGAAAGAGAAGGTCTGAAGAGCAAGATGAATAGAAGCGTATACCGATCGCTCGACGCTCGACGATTGCTGAAGCCCCAGACGCTCAATAAGGTTCGTCTTGCTGTTACGGCAGGCTCACCCCTGCTGCCGGTGAAACGTGGGGGCCGAGTTCTTCTGAGCTTCTGACATAGTCAGCATTCACCACCATGCCTTTATTTTGGATGGCGGTGTAGAGGATCTCTGAGGTCCGACAAGTCTCACGGCTCGAGGTCGAGTTTTGGACGGCCCCGGAGCTTGCTCAGTGATCATGGCAGCCGATCCTTTCCTTCCCTCCTTCCAACAGAACGAGCCGCACCGAAGGTATTGATAACGGTCCACTCGACGATGGGAGACCGGAGGTTGGGCCGCGAACATCGGATTCCGGTCACTCTGTCGCGCTTAACTTTACATCGAGTCTGTCTCGGGAAGGGCACCCCTCCTATATATAAACTCGAACGCAAGCAAGACAGAATCTCTCCCCTTTTCCGTTTACTCACAACTCACCAGCAGCAATGAGGATATCGTTTTGTCTACTCCTTGCGACTGTCGCACTGGCTGGTCCTGCTCCGGTGACACATGTCGACACGAACGGTTCTGGTGTTCTCGACAAGCGTATCGTGACGATCACGGTCGACACGCCCGCCGGCTCCATCGTCGGGCGACAAGATATGCTGACGGAGGACTTCAACGGGATCCCCTTTGCAGAGCCGCCTGTGGGTAAATTGCGACTTCGACCACCAGTGCGCCTGAACTCAACGTTGAACAACTTTGATGGCACTTCATACGCGCCGGCATGCCCTCAGTTCATCGCTCCGACACCGTCCGACCAGTCCCCGTTCCTGGAGCGTGTCATGGGGTCGCTCGTTGACAGCCCTTTCGTCAAGCGCGCTCTCAAGGTCAGCGAGGATTGCTTGAACCTGAACGTCATCCGGCCGAGAGGCGTCAAGGCAGGCGACAACCTACCAGTGTTGTTCTGGATGTACGGTGGCGGGTTCTCACTCGGCTGGAACTCGATGTACGACGCGAGCGGCATGGTCGCAGAGGCCGCCGCAGTGGGCAAGCCGTACATCTTTGTTGCTGTGTGGGTTTTGCGTGCGTCGTGGTAACTGATAAACAGCAACTACCGCGTTGGCGCTTGGGGCTGGCTCGCTGGCAAGGAGATGATGGAGGATGGGTCGACGAACCTTGGGCACCTGGACCAGCGCATGGGTCTGGAGTGGGTTGTGAGTGCAGCTGAATCGGCCGTGGGCATCGAGCTGATCTCAGGCGGACAACATCGCGGCCTTCGGCGGCGATCCAGCCAAGGTAACGCTATGGGGCGAGAGTGCAGGCAGCATCTCCGTCTTCCACCACATGGCAGCCTACGACGGCGATAACACATACAAGGGCAAGCCGCTGTTCCGAGCGGGCATCATGAACTCGGGTTCGATGATGCCTCTGGAGCCGGTGGACTCGCCTCGCGCACAGTCCATCTTCGACGCCGTTGTGTCGCACGTCGGCTGCTCCGGCGCTGAGGACAAACTAGAGTGCCTCCGCGCCCTGTCGCTGGAGGACTTCATGCTGGCTGCAAACGCACAGCCGGGCCTGCTGTCGTACACTGCCGTTGCTGTGTCGTACATGCCTCGCGTGGACGGCAAGTTCCTGACACGCACGCCGCACGAGATCGTCAAGGCTGGGACGTACGCGCCTGTTCCCTTCATTCTCGGCGATCAGGAGGACGAGGGCACGCTGTTCTCACTGTTCCAGAGCAACATTTCATCCACGACTGAGGGAATCGTAGGCTACCTCTCGGATCTGTACCTGCCCGCGATGCCGATCGAGAAGGTGCGCGAGCTCGTAGAAGCGTACCCGCAGTCAATCAGCGCCGGCTCGCCCTTCAACACGGGCATCTTCAACGAGGTTTACCCCGGCTTCAAGCGTCTCGCAGCCCTCATGGGCGACTTCAGCTTTACGATCACACGCCGCCTGTTTCTCGAACACTGCACGGCCAACCATCCCGACGTACCGGCATGGTCCTATCTCGCATCCTACGCCTACGGCACGCCAGTGCTGGGAAGTTTCCACGCCTCAGACCTCGTGCAGGTCTTCTTCGGCGTGCTGCCCAACTATGCCTCAGTCAATGTGAGGAAGTACTACGCCAACTTTGTGTGGAACCTCGACCCGAATGATGCGAGCGGCGGCACGGGCGGTAACTCGCAGGTCAACTTCCAGTGGCCCCGCTGGACAAACAATAGCCGCGTGCTCGTCAACTTTTACCGTCTGTTCTTCAGACACATCGCCGACGACTTTAGGAGTAACGTCTTCGATGTCATCAAGCGCAACGCGGACTACTACATGGGCGGGTAGGGTACGAGCGACAGCGAGCTCCTGCTCCCTCTCACATCCAACGTCTGAATTGCTGCTGTGGGAGCCTCGGTTTCGCTGTCGGCACGATAATGGGAGAGCAGTGCTGTGGACGTCTGAGAAAGATGAACTTTGTGTAGTCCTGGGATCTGGGGGCAAATGTCATAGCAGGGCTGTTCGAAACGCACGATAAGACGCTCCGACACCGTTTGGCTTCGTGTCGGCGCGAGGGGTTAACCTAGATAGATACCGAGCCGCGGATTTAAGTTGCCGGGGGGCCATTCAGCTGCGCCGGGCCTGAAAGCTTGAGTGTGCTGGCGACGTGTCCGTTTCCTGGGGTGCTTCTGTCGTTTCTGTGCTGACCAGATTGCAGACTTCTGAAGTATGATGCAGAGGAATTGGGGAGTAACGGACAATCAATGCTGGAGATGGATGAGCGAGTCCGTCGCGATATCCGCTGATGGACATTGATCGGCCATGTCCTACGGATCCTACGGACACTACGGGCGCCGGCTAGATTGCACTGACAGCCGGATTGCCAGGTCCCGGGTCCGAGACACGGCGTCACCTGCGCGTTTGCATTCTCGTCGGTGTGCGATGGGCGTGCTGACCTGCAACGGACCCTGTCATCTCCATCTGAGCAGTGTGGGCAGTCGTCCCCGCCTCGGCCAGCTTGTCAGGGTATATGCTGCCCCAGAGTGCCAGAGTGACGGAACTCAATTGCGGACATGTGTGCTGAGCCGGCGCTCGAGACACGGTGTAATGAACCAGGAACGAGGAACCTGCAACCTGGTATCCGAAACCACGCTCCGCCGCCGTGTCGTGTCGTGTCCAATGTGTTGTGACCGGCTTGACACGGCTGCGTACTTCGCTTTCCGCCGAGGGCCCTTCATGACTGTCCGTCTCCCCCAGCCACCACAGCCCCGGACATGCTATAAAGTCGCCTCTTCTCTCCCCCCTCATCCTCTCCATTCCCCGATAACTCACTGAAAGCGACTTTGACACCATGACCGACGACAGCAAGCAGAAGGACCAGGCAACGCGCGCCGCCGTCCTGACCTCCGTCGAGGAGCGCAGCCAGGACACCACCGGCACCGGCCGCGTCAGGGGCAAGGTGTGCATTGTCACTGGCGTCGGCCCCGCTGCCGGTATTGGCGCGCAGGCCGCCCGTCTCCTGGCCCGCGAGGGCGCGGCTGCGCTCTACCTCCTCGACGTGTCGAGGGACCTGCCCGCGTTCGCGAAGAGTCTCCAGAGCACCTTCCCCAACACCAAGGTGAGTCGCCAGCCTTGCCAAGTCTCAAAACTCCCGTGACTCTCATCTCAATGTCTCAAGCTGGCCCTCACTTCCTAGTCTACAAAGCTAATACCAGATCACCGCGATCACAGGCGACGCGGCCGACGACGCCGTCGTCTCGTCCGCAGTCCAGCGCGCACTCGACGAGACGGGCCGTCTCGACGTCTACTTTGCCAACGCGGGAATCTCGCACCTGAAGCCTAAGGCGGAGGAGGGCGGCCCGCCGCAGCTCATCCTGGACGTGATCTCGGGCACGCGGACGGCGCAGGACATCTCGGCTGCCGAGTTCAGCGAGGTGATGCGCATCAATGCGCTCTCCGTCTTCCTTGCGCTCAAGTACGCCGTGCCCGCCATGCAGCGTACGTCCGAGGACAAGAAGATTCCGCAGGGCAGTGTCATCAGCACGGCGTCTGTGGCTGGCGTGAACGCCAATGGTGGTCCCCTGCCTTACTCTGCCACCAAGGCCGCCGTCATCAACATGACCAAGAGCGCGGCGTATGAAGTTGCAGGCAAGAACGTCCGCATCAACTGTATCTGTCCCGGACTCATTCGGACGGATATGACAAAGACCATCTTTGAGCTTGCGGCTATGGCTGGCGTGGATGAGAATGTCGGCCAGCTCAACCCGCTCCAGCGCCACGGTCTTCCGGAAGGTGAGCACAGGCTCCGAAAGAGCTACGAGACGACCGACCTGAGCTAGAGCTGACTTGCAGAAATTGGCCAGGCCGTGCTGTGGCTCGCGTCCGACGAGTCGTCGTACGTCAATGGGCACGCGCTCGTCGTCGATGGCGGCCTCACAGCCAGCATGCCGTACATCCCCGGCGCGTCTGACAAGATCAAGGAGCTCGCCAAATTCTAAGTTATGTTAAGTGATTATGCAAGGATACAGCGGTTACATTGCATCTATGTTGAAACTAATCGTGAAAGGGGAGTCGGCATGAGGTGAGCGAAGGGAAGAAAGAAGGAGCTAGAACTGTCTATGTGTGCTTGGATTGCTTGGTGTGCACAAACAACGGAGGCAGAGGGAGAGTTTCCCGAAGTGCTATTGCTTCTTGCGATGCTCCGGCTTGTGGTCTACCTCATGGTCGACGTGCACGAAGCATCGGTCGACATTGGGTAGCGCCTCAATCTGGTCCTGGAGGTCTTGCGAGATATCGTGCGCCTTCCATAACGGCATCTCCGGGTCACTGGATATCAGCTCCATCGTAGACTGGCTCCAGCTGAGAAACACTTACAGGACAATGTCAACCTCGACGACATAGTCGGGCCCAGAGTGGTACACGCGCACCGTGTCGACCTGCTTGATCTCCTCGCTAAACGTCATGGCCTTGTAGGTCACCATGGACACGAACTCGCGCGGCGCGGCGATGCCCGCCAGGAAGGTGAACTGCTCGTATACTGTACGTGCCCAGAGCCCTATGACGATGATGGCGAGCACCATGGCGCCGACGGGGTCAATCCACCACTTCAGCTTGGCGCCGCCCGCGTTGGAGAGGATGGAGAAGCCGTTCGTGAACAGGTCGTTGCGGTGGTCTTCCCACAGGACTTGGACTTGGGAGGACGAGGAGCGGATCGCGCAGCAGTACAGGAAGAGCAGGAACTTGACGACTGTAGTGTCAGCTTGGCTCTGACGTTGATCCGATCCGAGCTGGAAGAGGGTATGGGCCCTAATTGTGTACTCACCCCATGCTACACACACGCAGATCAGCGGCACGAGGTGGAACGCCTTGGTGTCGCTGCCGTCGTGCGTGATCAGCTCCTGGAGCGTTTGGACCTGAGATTAGCTACGATTCTCCGCCTTGCAGCTGTCTACTGCAACATGTCCTCTGACCCGGGGCGATCAGGAGGAAGGCGCGAACTCACCACGAGGATCACGTTGACCGCGCCCATGATGAAGCCGAAGACGATGTTGCCACTGAGGTCAGCTTTCGACATCGCGACGGAATAGCTGTGACCGGAGACGTCCCATGGACTGAACGGCAGAGGAACCTAGGGAAGGACACCTACACTGCGGGTCAGCTACACATCCATCCGCTCAACTCACTGGTTTCGAAACGGGAGCCTCTAGCGGGCCATTTCTTCTCGTTTGCGCGCTTCGAGGCGCGGTGCGCGCTCCAAAGGATCAGGTTGGCGAATGGATCGACTGGGGAGTCAGGGCGAGCCTATCGTCAAAACGGCAACTTACACACTGTCTTGTCAGCTGCAGATCCCATTACCACAGCTGCAAACGGCCATCTGGCAGCGGCAACACTCACCTGCGTCCACACAGCTCGCGAACAGGGCGAGCGACAAGGAGGAGATGGCCGCATACAGCTGGAGCGCAGCGAGACAGATATTCGCCGCAAAGCTGACGTTGACGGCGATCTTGACCTTTAGGGCGGCCGCTTCACCAGCGTCTCTCGCTTCAGCAGTATGCACGTCCATGGGCTTGAGAAGGTTGTCGATGTGCTCATTCTGGTTCTCGTAGAAGCTAGCGACCTTGCCCGCCTTGCGTTTCCGGAGACCGTCGATCTCGGCTGCGCTCTTCACCTTCTGCCGAAGAAGGAGGGGATCGCTCTCGCCTGCTTCGCGCGACACGACCGTGTCCATGTTCATGAGCTCGAGGTCGACGTCGGGCGAGAGCACCGGCGCTGTCATTGTCGCTGTTATCGACATTGCTGGAAGACGGTGTGTGAGGAAGGTGGTGATTCTGAAATTTCCCGCAAGCAGCTGACTCGACTTTGGGCTCTTCCTTTGGCCTGTGCTTGCTCGGTTGCCGCCAAGCTAAGCTAGCTGGACGACGCCCGGTGGCGCCGCAGGGGCGGTGCTCCACTCGTTATCTATCGGCGTCTTTTCCGCGCTCGGACATTTGCGCCCGAACTCCGTGCCGCGCGCGGACGCGTCGCGCTGTCGGCCTGACATGGCTGACATTATTCGGACCACCTGGTCCGGCTGACCCGGATTATCGGGCACGCATGAAGCTGCAGAGCTGGGAGCCTGGGGCAGACACCGGGAGCTTCGGTCGTGGATGTGTTGCCCGCGTAACGTCAGCCCTGGGGCACTCATATCGTTCCTGGGTGTCCTGGCCAGCGCCGTGGCTTCATCCCCATACCTCAACTCGAAGCAAGATTGGTTCAGCAAGCAGAAACATGGCAGCATTGGAACCAGGTCCGTAACGAGTCTGAAACCTACTTGGGAAGATGCATGTCTGGCTATCTTAACTGGAATCAGGAGGTTGACTTGCCTCCATAGCCCTTGATTCAGCAGAAAACCGGTCTCCCTAAGTCACCCTTACAACCTGCGTGCGCAGTGCACTATCGTCGACTAACCCGTCCCTCTGCGTGCTCCCCGATGCCTCTGGGGCCTCTGTCTAGCTTGGATGATGTCAGTGCAGAGTGGTTGGAAAACCCCCGGGCTTCGCACTCGGACCTCTTCCGCATCGTTCACGCTACGACGGCACGCAGTCGCACCTCACACCGACAACTTTTCCTCGTCTCCATCCACCATCACTCCCACTCGCATCGTACATCCAACCCCGTCACATCAATGCTCCCCGCTATGCACTGCGACCAGCCCCCAACCCACTGTGCCAGGGATGTCGTCACCCGCAAGAAGGCCAGCCAAACAATGGGCGTCCCTGGATCACGTGGTCGCGTAATCTCGACTCCCCCCTCTATGCGCCGCGAGATTGAGGATTGACGCGTCGCGCTCCGCTCATAGAACGGCAACCGTCTCGAAATCTACACATCCACCCACATCCAACCATCGCTGTGTCTAGACAGTCTAGTCGCTCCACACAGCCGTAGCCCCGGATATAGCACACCCTCGACACACACACGCCGAACATGACCGCCGAGCAGACCGAGGACAACTGGGGCCGAGGTGAGTGCCTTCCTTTCCTTCCCGCCGGTTCCGATCGTGTGATGTGATGAACGGTGTTTTCGTCTTTCTCCGCCCTCCTCCTGGGGCCTGAACACCGACCTCCTCCACTCACCGATCATCCTCGCTTCTGGCGCAACACGGCACACGAACTCTTGCTGACATTGCGCAGTCCTTATATGCGGAGGAACAGACTGGTGAGTATATCGACAAACAACGGGCTGCAAATGTTTAACACACTCCAAGGGCTGCGAACGGAAAGGGAAGAAAACAACAAGAGTGAGTTGAACGTACAAGCACAGAACTGACATCCAGCGCCGGAGACCTCAACGAACCGTACATTCTGCGATCGCTCTGTCACATCAAGGTCACCAAGGTCCTTTCTGGATGCGCTGCCAACTACGGAATCGCTATCGATGGTGAGAGCTTAGTCCTCCATACCCTTTAGCTGACATCAGTCGACGGCCTCGCGCACTTCTTTGGCCGCGTTCCCGGCATCGGACCAGTGTCGAAGAAGGGCATCGTTCCCCATGATGCACCGATGCATGTCTCCCCGCGTAACGTTGGCCTCGGAAACGACGTGAAGTGGGTCGGCGGTGCTGCCGGACGAAGCCATTGGTTCCTCCTCGACTCAAAGGGAGGCGTATGGGGATCGGGCAACAACGTTGTTGGCCAGCTGGGTCTTGTGAGTTAGACTATCGGGATCGGAAAACTGACAGCAGTCGACGTCTGGCGAGGTCGAGACTCTCGAGCGCATCCCCGGGCCATGGACGCGGGCAGGAGAGAAGGTTGTCCAGGTCACCGCCGGACATACCTTCTCCCTCTTCCTTACTGACGCGGGCAAGGTGTACGCCTGTGGCTCGAGCGAGCACGGCCAGCTTGGCAACGGAACAACAGGAGAGCGTCTCGTCAAGGCGGGCAAGACTTCCTACGATGTTCAGGCTCCTCCCCGTAAGCTGCCGTGTAAGGGACGCTTCAGCTGACGTCAGGGTTGATCGAAGACACCTTTGAGGGCAAGAAGATCGCGCAGATCTCGTCTGGAAACCAGCACTCGCTCGCGCTCGACGAGGATGGAAACGTCTACGCGTGGGGCTACGCTGGCTACGCGCGCCTCGGACTCGGTGACCAGAAGGACCAGCTCGTGCCCACACTTGTGCCGCAGTTTTCGGACAGCAACCCCAAGCGCCGCGCCGAGACTGTCATTTGCGGACCGACTAGTGAGTTATGTGCGCTGCATCAGCTAACTCCCGCCAGACTCCGTTGTCATCGACCGCTTCAAGATGTTCCACATGGCGGGCAAGTGGAAGCTGACGGGAGACGGCTCGACGGGATCGCCGTACACGACGTTCAAGCTGCTCGACAGTCGTGAGTTAAGGCAACTCGGGTAGAGCTAACTCGCCACAGTCAGCAGCTGCAAGATTCAGGTCGCATCCCTCGGTGGCTGCACGCACTTCATCACTACGCCAACGGACGACGGAACGACACAGACTGTCGGCTTCGGTCAGGGAGCGCTTTACGGAGGTGAGCTCCATTCATTCTCCGCGTAGCTGACTCCAGAACTTGGTTTCGGCCCTGATGTCGGCAAGAGCTCTACCAAGCCGATAGCTATCGCTCCCCTGGCCGGCATCGACGTTATCGAGTAAGCTTTGGTTCGCCTGATCAAGCTGACACACAGCATCGCGGCTGGAGCATTCTTCACTCTCTTCCTCGCCAGGCCCAACCAGCAGCTGGAGGACCGTCCTCGGTATCCCGTTACTGTCGAGTCCGAGGATGTGTGCCTGGTCTGTCTCACGAGGAAGGCGATGAGAGCCTGCTCCTCGAGTGCCAGAAGGTGAGAAGCTGATGTTGTGTGGAACGGTAGCTGACGACCAGTGTGACGAGCCGTATCACTGCGGCTGCCTGACGCCTCCTCTGACCGAGCTGCCTGATGGCGAGTGGTTCTGCCCCGTGTGCGAGAAGGAGGGCGAGTCGATGGAGCAGCAGTGCTCTCTGATTCCAGACGAGGACGCAATCGGCGAGCCCGAGCTGCCCGACACGCCTCTGAAGCGTAAGACCGAATCAGAGGAACGGGCGACGCCAGGTGAGTTTCTGTGTCAAGTAGGCGCTGACATCCACACAGAAAGTGGATACAAGCGTCCTCGCTCTGGGTGAAAATGAGGCGGCTAGTTCTTGTAGAGGGGCGGTGCGTCCAGAGAGCCGAGGCCGAGGGCTCCCGCGGTACTGTGATATGAATCTTGTGTACGATTGCAGGCAGCGGTTCCGGAAATAACCAATCTGTGCTCTGGGCAGTGCGGCTCGAATGTGCGGCACCGGTGCGCACGTGATGGTCACATGCGGCTGTGCAACAGGTATGAGCGGCAACTTGATCGCGAGACATGAGACATGGGCATTGGCCCTCTGCCCTCTGGCCTCTGGCGTGTGCGATGTGTGAAATGCACAGCGGAACCGACCCGAAAGTTGCAAAGACATATTGGCATTGTATGCTTCTCGTCGTCAAGAACGTGCCGACGAGGGGTAGGAGCGAACGCCGGAATGGCGATACCGCTGAAGGATGGCAGTGCAGCAGACCAATGCGGAGCATTGTTTATCTGGCACTGAGAAGCCGAGATTAAAGGTGAGGCGCGGATAGAAAAGCCACTTGCGTGATTTCTCATTGGCCCGTCGCACACAGATCTAGCGCACAAGGAAGGATGGGAGCGCTATTATCGACCATTTGGCGACCATTTGGAGACGAGCGCATTTTGCACATTCACCTCTCCCTGCCCGTGTCACATCGTTCCCCAGCGTCCCCAGGTGTGTCGGGGAGCCCGTGATCCACATCGCGTCCATCTGGCTATCCACGGTTCTCGTGGACCTCGTGTCAACCGTGTTCGCAGTGAAGGCTGTCAAAGTGGCTGTGGCCAAGTGCACCGAGATCCATCGGCAATCGGACCGTTCCCCTTTCGATGCCTCGGTATCAAAATGAGGGGCTCGCCCAGAATGCCGCAAAAAGTGATCTACACAATAGAGGGATTTTGTTCATTCGTCCGGCATATCGGCGTTCTGTCACACTCATCGTTGTGTTGCTCCTTTCTCTCCAGCATACGCAACACGGCCAGCAAGGCAGCAAGGCAGCACGCAAACAGCAGAGGTCAAGGGGCAGCAGAAGACCGCCCAGGATGTCGCTTGGAGTTAGCTTGATCCCGGTGATCCAGTGAGCGACCCAGTAACTACCGAGCGACCTAGCAACCCAAAGCCCACGGTTCCAAGGATAGCAGCGGCGAGTTCCCCTACCCCCCGGTCGCACGCCAGATGAGATGGCGACGGCCTGGCGCGCCTGGCGTCACAGACATCACGCGAACGCGCCAACATTTGCCCAGCATGCTGCGCCAAACGCAACTCAATGGCCAACGGGATGTGAGATAGAACCCAGCGCCGCCGAGCGTCAGTGGCTCACACTACACTGATCCTCGCCTAGCTTTAGCTCGTGTCCCATTCTGGGGCGTAGTTCACTTGTCGCGCCTTCATGCCCTCTTGCCTCTTGCCCCTGTGCCCTCACCGCAAGCACACTGACAGCTCATGCCCACTCACTCACGGGTACATACTGACGCGCTAGTGCTCGTATAAAGCTCAAGAATCTCGAGAAGCACTCCCCCCATCCCAGCTGGCTTCTCCCCTTCTCACTCCCCAACCTCCTCCCCTCTTTCTATTCCCTCACCGGAGCACCCCTGCCCTCCTCCTCCCTTCCATCCCTCCCCCTCCTTCACCCCCAACCCCTCCATAATCCCTCACAATGGTGGACAAGGACAAAGACGCCAAGGACTCCCTCTCGATCAAGTCGGGCCGCTCCGCCAGCGCCGAGACCATCCTCCCCGAGGTCGCGTACGAGATTGACGCCGAAAAGGCCACGCATACTGGCGCAAGCGGCCAGCAGGCTCATCCACAGTTCGCCATTCCGCGCTCGGTCACTATCCAGGATGACGAGACGGCGCAGCGCGAGTTACGCCTCAGAAGGCAGAATTCGGTAGGCGCGGGGCCGAGGCAGGTGGATACGACTAGCAGGCTGGTTGGCGAGTTCAGGTGAGTCTCTCTTGGTCGAGCGCCACTTCCTCAACTACCCTTGGACTTTGCTCTCGGACTCCGTCCTCTGTTACCTAGCTCCCTCGGACTCCGTCCTCGGTTACCCAGCTCCCTCAGACTTCGCCTACGGCTCCCTCGGACTTCGTCCTCGGTTCGCTGACACGCAGGACCCTCTCGATCCATGTGACCGACTCGCTCCGCCACCCGGAGCAGACCGAGGCAAAGCGTACCGCTGTGCGCGAGCTTACGGAGCTCGACTGGCACAAGCTGGACGACAAGGAAGTGTGCCAGCGCCTGAACGTGTCCCCCAAGGCGGGTCTGGACCGGGATCAGGTGAAGCGCCGCCTGAACTCCAGTGGATACAACGAGATGACGCCTCCGTCGAACAATGTCCTCATGAAGTGGTTCTGGTACGTGTTCGGCGGCTTCGGCACCATCCTCTTCATCGCCTCGGTACTCTGCTTCATTGCGTGGCGCCCGCTCGGCGACCCCAACCCCTCGGCCGCCAACCTCGCCCTCGCCGTCGTGCTGCTCATCGTTATCGTGATCCAGACCGCGTTCAATGCATACCAGGACTGGTCGACTGGCAAGGTCATGGCGTCCATCATGAACCTGCTCCCGCAGCAGGTCACGGTGCTCCGTGACGGCGCCCAGGTCCAGATCGAGGGTCGCGAGATCGTCCCCGGCGACCTGGTCTACATCTCGCTCGGCAACAAGCTCCCTGCCGACGTCCGCTTCCTCCAGACTTCGAGCGACTTCCGCCTCGATCGCGCCGTGCTCACGGGCGAGTCGGAGCCGATTGCGGGCGTAACACACACGACGGACGATAACTTTCTCGAGTCCAAGAACATCGGTTTGCAGGGTACGCTCTGCGTCGGAGGTAGCGGTCTCGGCATCGTGATCCAGACGGGAGACAACACAGTGTTCGGCCGCATCGCTGCGCTCTCGGCACAGGGCGGACCGGCTTTGACGACGCTGCAGCGCGAGATCGCACACTTTGTTTGGATCATTGTCGGGTGTGCGCTCACCATTGCCCTCATCATCATCATTCTGTGGGCCGCGTGGCTGAACCCGAAACACAAGGGTTTCATGTCCGCCTCAACGCTCGTTATCAACGTCGTCTCCGTCTGCGTCGCTTTCATCCCCGAAGGCCTACCCATCTCCGTAACTGTGTCTCTGTCCGTCATTGCGCGCACGCTCGCCAAGAACAAGGTGCTGTGCAAGACGCTCATGACGGTGGAGACTCTGGGCTCCGTCTCCGTGCTCTGTTCTGACAAGACGGGCACGCTCACGCAGAACCAGATGACGGTCACCTCGGTCGCTGTATTCGAGGACGAGATGGACAGTCTGGCCGCCCGCGACAGGATCGTGGCGCAGCATGACAGTGCCGATTCCGTGCGCCAGCTCGCCGCCGTCGCCGGAGTATGCAACGCTGCCTCGTTCGATGCATCGACGCTCGACCAGCCCCTCGGCCTGCGCAAGGTCCACGGCGACGCGACCGACAGTGCGATCCTCCGCTGGGCCGAGTTCCTGCGTCCTGTGTCCGAGTCCCAGAGCGAGTGGACCGAGATCTTCAAGATGAACTTTTCCTCCAAGACAAAGTTCATGCTCAAGCTGCTCCGTCCGAGCTCGACAGGCAAGCTGACCGGCAATCCCGCCCCTGTGTCTCAGTACGAGGCGTTTAATGATGGCGACGCCATCCTGCTCACGAAGGGAGCGCCCGATGTCCTCCTCAAGCGCTGCAGCTCCATCAACGATGCGTCCGGTGGTCCCTCGCTGCCCCTCACGGAGCAGCGCCGCGCCCAGCTCGTCGCGGTCCAGGAACGCTGGGCGGCAAAGGGCCAGCGCGTCCTCCTCGTCGCCAAGCGTGTCATCCCCGCCTCCCAGCTCTCGGGCTGGGACACGGCCAGTGACGAGTTCGCAGACCACGTCAATCTCTCACTCAACCAGGATCTGACTGTCGTTGGTCTCCTCGGTCTCGTCGACCCCCCTCGGCCCGACATCCCCGACACGATCCGTACTCTCCGCGCCGCGGGCATCAAAGTCTTCATGGTCACTGGCGACTTTGCGCTTACGGCCGTCGCGATCGCCGAGCAGTGCGGCATCGTCACTGCACGTCGCCGCGCAACGCTCACCGATCTTCCCCGCCAAGCGCCGGAACTCCACGGCGGCCTGCCCGACATTGGCAAGGGGTGCGAGCCCGTTGACACACTGAGTACGGAAGAAGCAGTCCTTGCGCCTGTCGACCGCGCCCTCGTCCTTTCCGGCTCGGACCTCATGCAAATGTCCGAAGACCAGTGGGCGCAGGCATGCACGTACCCCGAGATCGTGTTTGCGCGCACTACGCCCGAGCAAAAGCTCCGGATTGTGAAGGAGTTCCAGGCTCGCGGGGCCGTCGTCGGCATGACGGGCGATGGCGTCAATGACGCGCCGAGTCTCAAGGCGGCAGACGTCGGGATTGCCATGGGCGGCGGCTCTGATGTCGCCATGGAGGCGGCTGATCTGGTGCTCCTCGAGAGCTTCAGCAGCATGGTCGTCGCTGTCACGTACGGAAGGCTCGTGTTTGATAACCTGAAGAAGACGATTCTCTACCTCCTCCCGTAAGTTGATTGGCGGCCGATTGGAGCACAACTAACGCTCAGTGCCGGCTCGTTCTCCGAGCTCACGCCCATCCTCATCTGCGTCCTCTTCGGTCTGCCTCAGATGATGTCCTCGATCGACATGATCCTTGTCTGCTGCTGTAAGTAGACTTCTCCTCCACTAGCTATGTCTCCTGGAGCTGAGCTGACGTCCAGTGACCGACGTTTTGCCTGCTGTATCGATGTGCTTCGAGAAGCCCGAGACCGGTCTCCTTCTCCGCCCGCCCCGAGACATCAAGAAGGACAAGCTCGTCAACTGGAAACTCCTCTTCCACGCTTATGCCGTGCTCGGTGTCCTCGAGTCGCTGTGCGCCTTCTCCATGGCGTTCTGGTACCTGCAGCGTGCGGGCTACCCCTTTTCGAAGATTGTGTTCGCCTTCGGCGGCCTGCCGCCCGACCTGGACGCGGACGATTTCAACGAGCAAGTCGCGCGCGCGCAAAGCGTCTACTTCTTCACCCTCGTGTTCATGCAGTGGGGCAACCTGCTCGCGACGCGCACCCGCCGCCTGAGTATCTTCCAGCACAACCCCTTCTGGGGCCCGGCGCGCAACCTCTTCGTGCCCTGCGCCATGGCGGCGAGTATCGCCTTCCTGTTCTTCTTCTCCTACGTGCCCTTCTTCCAGAAGGCATTCGTCACGCGCGGCGTCCCCGTCGAGTACATCTTCATCCCGATCGCCTTTGCTGTGGCCCTGCTCCTGCTCGACGAGGCGAGGAAATACTGCGTGCGCACTTGGCCCAAGGGCTTCCTCGCCAAGATTGCGTGGTGAGACAGCCCCTGCTGGAATGTCAGTGTGCATTATGACGAACCTTCCTATAATCCGTGACCCGAACAACAACCCATAGAGATTCTAAGTCTTGTCTATAGATCGTGACGATAGAGCAATGCATGCATGACGTCTTGCCCGCAGCAGCGATGTGAGGTCAGTGGCTTTCGGGAATCTCGGATGGGGGGATCGCATAAGGTTGAATGCCGCCGGACCGCTTGCCGGCGCGCCAATGCCGCGCCAGGGTGAGCAGCTGACCAGTCTGACAGCTGACAGAGCACATGTGAGCGCGCGCAACTCACCGCTTGCATCTTGCAACCTGAATGTCTTCCACAAGGCGTCTTCCCTCCCTTCTCACCACCACAGCCCGACACCTCAGCACATCCTCGCCCGCCATGTCGACCATCAAGTCCGACCCCAAGACCTACATCTTCAACCACACCATGTGAGCTGATTCCGTGTGAGCTGAGCTGACGTCAGGGTACGCCTTCCTCGCACCCCGCTGCCCACCCAGTAGACCACAACTGACTCCCAGTTCCGCATCAAGGACCCCAAGGCGTCCTTGAAGGTAAGCTTCACCGTTCGGGCTTAGCTGACGCCCAGTTCTACGAGGAGGTCCTCGGCATGGAGGTGAGCTTCGCACAGGGAGATAGCTGACGTCACAGTGCTTCCGCAAGTCGGACGGCGGCGACTTCACCAACTACTTCCTCGGCTACCCGTCCGGATTCGGCGACAAGGCCAACGCCTCCAAGGAGGTCAAGGGCGACAACTTTACCAACCGCGAGGGCGTCCTCGAGCTCTGCCACAACTGGGGCACTGGTGAGTAGTCGCTCGGGGGTCAGGGTGGGCAGTAGCTTGCGGAATGTCAGGAACAGTGGACGGGGGGAGCACCTCGGCGTGTTTGTCGTGGATGCCAGCTGGGTGGACTCCCTGAAGCTGACAGACAGAGAACGACCCCAACTTCAAGGGCTACGCCAGCGGCAACGAGGAGCCCGGCCGCGGCTTCGGCCACATCTGTATCGCTGTCGACGACCTGCACGCCGCGTGTAAGCGCTTCGACGAGCTCGGCGTCAAGTTCAAGAAGCGCCCCGAGGAGGGCCGTATGCGCGTAAGTTGGCCGAGCGGAGCGAGGGCTGCTGCATTAGGCCTTCTCTCGCTTCCCCTCCCAGCTAGGTACTGCCGGAGACAGCTGACCCCAGCACATCGCCTTCATCTACGACCCCGACGGATACTGGATCGAGATCCTCTCCCGCAAGCCTGGTCAGGAGGGTGCCTAAGCACATGCTCAGCAGCGATAGATGCGATGTATGCGAAGATTGAAGCAAGGCTGTGCTGCATACTGACTCGTCTATTCGCTATGGCAGTACTGCTGAGGCTACAGTTACCAGCCGAACTGCTCAGAGTAGAAGTGGATCGGGGGTTGCCCCTTGGCGACGGCCGAGGGTGTGTTCACAGCACACACGGCGCGTCGCGTTTCAAGGTTCAAGGACGAAGGACCACACACTACCACAGCCATGCCTCCTGCATCGTTGGGGGTACTGGCAATGTTTCGGCGGATGGTGCCCTCGACGTCGGCCCGTCCTTCCAGCACATTGATAACGCTCACCAGAGCGTCATTCTCACCCTGCTCGTCCTTGTCGCTGACCACAGACGGTGTGGCAGTTTCGACCCCCCTCCTGGTCCGATGTACATCGACTCTAACCTCCATCCGACCAGCACTCCCGCCCATCTCCATCTCAATCATCCCCTTGATCCACGCCACTGCATCCTCATCCCGTGTGTTCCAAACAAGATGCACAAGGCCAACCGCCGAATCACTCCTCCTCGCATCCCGGACCAGGCCGAGGAGGAGGGCAAGGCAAAAACTGATCCCAGTCCCGCCAGCTAGTAAAGTGACAGAGGCATAATGCGTCAGAGCGGGTGGAATGCCGTAGGGACCGTCGACGAGGCATCGGTGTGGGCCGGGGTGGGAGAGGAGGTGGCGGGTGAAACCCTTGTGTGCGCGGATGAAGAAGACGGCCTGGCCTCCTTCCCTCGCGGCGTTCGTGTCGCTCGCGGCGCTGGCATCACTCGCCGGGCTTGCAGGGCTCGCATCGCTCGCATTGCTCGCGGCGCTCGCGAGACTGGCCATGGTGAATGGATGCTGTTGCAGTGCGATGCTCGGCATGGTGAGGAACATGTGTTGCCCGGGGGTCCACTTCATGCCAGTCGTGACAGTCACTTTCACCACATCAGCTCCTAGGACTTCAACCACGGCCCCTGTCTTGCCGGTCTTGCCTGTCTTGCCGGCTCGACTCGCCCATCCCATCTTCCCCAGCGAAACGATCCGGTCAAAACCCCAGATAACGAACCCACCCCAAGCCCACGCGCGATACATGGGCCGATGCACGCAGAGTGCCGCCAGGAGCACAATACCCAGGAGAATGTGGAGCGCGATGAAGCCCTCATAAGCCAGCCGGCGGAAGAGTCCAAACGAGGACAGGAACAGGAGACTGAGCGCCGCCAGTGCCAGCCCGCCCGTGGTTGAGGTCCGGGAGGGGGCGAAGCCGACACCAAGCATGGCGCCCAAGTGTGCCCAGGCCGTCAGGACGCAGGTCCGCGCCGACGCGCGGTGCAGCCAGTTCAGCCGCTCGTAGCTCAGACCCGTCAGCAGGCTTATGAGATTGTTCCGCCCGGAGAGGGTGATGATGAAGGGGAGTTGCGAGATGGACTGGGTGTCAGCGCACACTTGCTATTAATACAGCATCGCTCGCTGTGGCTGAGACTGGGGCTGCTGTTGGGAATTGGGAATGGGGCTCGCGGCTCGCGGCTCGCGGCTCGCCGCGCTCACTGCGCTCGCTCCACTCGCTAAACTCACAGCCAGCCCGAACACGCGGGTATAGTTCATCTTGCCCTTGTACACTGATCCCCACATTGTCAAGCCGAGGACGAGGCCGAGATAAGCCGCGGTCCAGAAGTATTCTGTCGCTGTGTGGTTCGGAAACAGAACGAGGGGGACACGGACGTGTGCCCAGTTGCGATACCCCGCGTACATTCCCTTCATGAGCCCGATCATTCTTCTCGTCGCCGTTGCTCTGTCCGCCGTGATGGCCTTTGGATCGGGTGTCGAGGCAGAAGGGGCACCGAGCCGGAGAGCGGCCACGTTTCGCCGAATGGAACGCGCTCGGAGGAACCGAACCACACGCAGGAGAGTGAGCGCCGCAACGATGCCCGCCAGGATCCACCAGAGGATGTAGAACGCCTTCCGTGAGTGCAGCTTTGGCAGCCAGACGAATAGAGGCGGCAGGCCCGGGCCGGCCGGCTGCATCATTGGGTCCTTCGCTTTCGCTGTGCCGCTCGCTGTGCTGTTTGCGGCGTGTTGTCGCGCCACGAACTCCATGGCTGAGTCCTAATCATCAGCACCAGATCCACGCCCCAGGCATGTTCCGCAGAATCGGGACATTACCTTCTCGTTCGTTCGTTCGTTCGTTCGTTCGTTCGTTCGTTCGTTCGTTCAGGTGACTAGGATGAAGAGACATTGTACGAGGTTTATATCGGGTGTGTTGTCAGTCAATCCAACAAGTTTCCATCGGCTAGCATCTCATTGCTCAGCATTCTCTCGGATCGGGTTCAGTTGCACACTAGCGTCAGAGAATAGTGCCAAGGCGGGCGACCGCAGCGTGTCAACGATGTTCCGTCGAACTGGGTGTGCTTGGCATCGTTCCTCCACATGCATTGTGTCCATATGAGCGTCAGCGTTGCCCCGTGCCAGCCCGCGACTGCCTTTCAGGGAGGAGGGTTCGGCCGAAGGTTTTAGTCTTATCTTGCCCGCGATCGGTGATTAATCCTTTCTCGTCCGGGACGATTCATAAGAAGTCAGTGTTCGAGAAGGCAGTTGTGCCGAGACGATGGTCCAGGTTGCAGAACCCAGCGTCATGCCTCTCTGATCGATCGTGAGGAGCGACCAAGTGGCGGCGACGTTGCCGCTGAGCTGTCTGAATACGCCGAGGCTCTGGTCAAAGTTTCATGACTCATCCTCTGGCTCTGGGCGCCGAAGTGTCGCCATCTGAGACCAAGCCGGCACCATGCACCCCTTATCCCTATTGAGTACTTACCTGGCAATATAGCTTCTCTAGGGACAAACAGATCACAGCAGTTAGTCATCCTATATCGGCTGTTCCGGCGGAACACCGACGCCAGCCTGGCGTTACATCCCCGAGGGGCGGAAGTGCAAGACGAGTATGATCGCGAGAACGACGATGTGTCACCGTGGGAGACATTGGATCTAGCGAGGGTCGTCTCCGATACCGAGTCGACTTTTAAAACGTCAAGCCCGTTAAGGTCGAGAGAGGGTAAGATACCCGCACTTGCAGGGTTGGAGCCGGCTGTGGTGGTGTTCAACTCAGTGACGGCGAGCAACCGAAGCTATCAACATAGTGCTCTGCACATTGCGATTTACATGAACGGACGAACGGGTGCACACTTCATGAGACTTCGAGTGCCGAATCCAGAGGCGCCTGTGGCGCCAGGCGAGCGTTGCAGGCAGTTGCAGGAAACCCAGCTCATCATTTTTGGCACGCCTTGAGTGATCCTTCATCATCGACTCAGCCCTTACACATTGCTTGGCAGTGTTGCCACCGAGAGACGGTCCTCGTCCGTCTTCTGGGAGAGTGTAGAGGACCGAAACAACCGTCTCATAGCTATGGTAAGGTTGATCTGCGTTCCAGCATGGCAGCACCCACGTTTCTACCTGCTCCCTCGCGAATTCTGGACATACGGGGTCACTCCAGCTCCACTCGTACCTCGAAGTCGAGGAATGTGAGCGACGACAGATCTGTAAACCTTGCAGTTGAACATTGATTCTGGATGGAAGAAGCTCAAGTGCTGAATGAGCAGCTGAGCAGAAGTGCAGAAGGCACAGCCTGCATAGACCATGCGACTCAGATTCGTCAGAAATCGTCAGCGGTCGTCTGTCAGTGCGTCCGTGCGTCAATAATCTCTCTACGCTCGTACGTTGTCCTTCTTTCTGCCCAGTCGCCAAGAGATGACGCCAGACACGCCGGAAAGAAGCACATCTCTAACCAACGACACACCAACCGCCCGCGAAAACGGCCACAGAAGGACAAAAGAAGCAAGCACAAGCCACCCGGCGCTCACTCCTCTTGAAACAGTCAGTGAAGTTCAGGTAAGAGGACGTTTTGGGAAAGATCTTAGGTGACAGTGGAGCACTCCCAACCTTATCAGTACCGGTCGTCTGGGAGGTGCCGAGTGGCTCCCGCATTCGTGAGCTGGTCGTAGCTGGGAGAGGATGACGCAGAGCTTGAACGTGCACCATCAAGCGAGGCACCCGATTCCAGACACTAGTGTATGGCGGGGTAGCGGTGACTTCCCGTTGCCCCGCCGTCGGTCGCTCCACTGACCCACTACTGAGCGCAAGACCTGGGGGCCGGTCTGCGGGGTTCGTCAGGACCCAAAGTGAGCGGGGTTGGCTCGACCAAGGTGGGGTGCAGCGCGTTGTCCAGTCGTGTTCGGTCGATCAAGATCCTGGATCAAGAGGCTGGCCCAGAGAACCGTAGCTTGACCGTAGTGTCGTTCCGACAATTCCCAAACGCATCCTCTCTTCGGCTGAAACGTCATCCACCCGGACTTGCCAAGTGACAAATCCGGCACGTGGACACGTCACGTGACCTTTATCATATCGCCTATCTCTCACCCTGGAGCGCACAGGGATCGTCCGTGGCAAAGAGACGATGGCGTGATCCTGCACCATATTTGACCGACGGAACCGCAAAACCAGCCTCGTCTCTGCCCCCCTCTGTCCGTCGCCCCGCATACAGGCTTGCATGCATACGCGGCCCCTCTAGCGCAGAATGATCGCATGCATGCAGCCTGGCTTAGCTTACTTCCCGGAAGCCAGCCTCTGCTCTTTTGGTCCCAGAGCAGCAGGACCAGGGTCGCTACCGCCAGCCAAAATCAGCCAGCCAGGGCCCGACCCGACCCACGCTCTCTAACACCCGATGTAATCTCCCGACGCTCGCCGCACGACCAGCCTGGCGCGGGGTTCAGGGCGTCTGAGTAATGTAGACGGCCTGCGCACGTGGAAATCAGCCAGGAGCAGGTCTTGATTATCTGGAATTTCAGTCCAAAAGTCTAAGGGTCGCCCCCCGCCGACCGGGCACGAAGGCAAGCACGCCAGCGTCCACCGAGCACGTCACGAATATCCCAAAGAGCAAAAGACTGCTTTGCATGTACAGACACCACTGTACGCAGTGTGTCGCCGCTATATCTGAATGACTTGCTGAGAATCTGTTCTTCTTTAACCTAACCCTCTTCTTCACCACCTCGGCCCCTCACCCCCGTCACCCAGACTAATCAAAATGGCCAACACCCCTCACGGAGGCGTCCTCAAGGACCTTGTCGCGCGCGACGCTCCCCGCCAGGCTGAGCTCAAGGAGGAGGCTCGTCACCTCCAGGACATCTTCCTGACCGAGGTGAGTGGAGTCGGCGCGCCGGAGGAGCGGCGGTGCTAGAACTGGCGGCGATGGCGAATACAGTCAGCGGAGCGGAACTGGCGGCGATGTTAGTGACGCCCGCGACTCCGACGCCCCACACCCAGTCTAGTCGACTAGCCTCCGGCCCCACACAATTGAGGATTGCGCTAACATTCGCAGCGCCAGCTCTGTGACCTCGAGCTCATCATGAACGGTGGTTTCTCTCCCCTCGAGGGCTTCATGAACGAGAAGGACTACAAGTCTGTCGTCGACACTCTCCGCCTGGCCCCCACCAACGGCCACCGCCAGGGCACTCTCTTCCCGATGCCGATCACCCTCGACGTCTCGAAGGAGGACATTGAGCGTCTCCAGCTCGCCCCCGGCGTCCGCGTCGCTCTCCGCGACTTCCGTGACGAGGCCGCCCTCGCCATCCTTACGATCGAGGACATCTACAAGCCTAACAAGTCCGAGGAGGCCGAGAAGGTCATGGGCGCCGACGACCTGGCTCACCCCGCCGTGGCTTACCTGCACAACCGGACGAAGGAGTTCTACGTCGGCGGCAAGGTCGAGGCTGTCCAGGCCCCGGCGCACTACGACTACGTCGGCCTCCGCTACACCCCCGCCGAGCTCCGCGCCTACTTCCACAAGCTCGCTTGGCGCAAGGTCGTCGCTTTCCAGACCCGCAACCCTATGCACCGCGCTCACCGTGAGCTGACCGTCCGTGCCGCGCGTCAGCACAAGGCCAACGTTCTCATCCACCCCGTCGTCGGTCTCACCAAGCCCGGAGACGTCGACCACTACACCCGCGTCCGCGCCTACCAGGCCCTGATGCCCTCGTACCCCGAGGGACTGGCTCACCTCGCCCTCCTTCCTCTTGCCATGCGCATGGCCGGTCCCCGTGAGGCCGTCTGGCACGCGATCATCCGCAAGAACTTTGGTGCCTCGCACTTCATCGTCGGCCGTGACCACGCTGGCCCCGGCAAGAACTCGCAGGGCAAGGACTTCTACGGCCCGTACGACGCCCAGGAGCTCGTCGCGCAGTACAAGGACGAGCTGCACATTGACATGGTGCCCTTCCAGATGATGACCTACCTCCCCGGCTCGGACGAGTACCAGCCTGTCGACGAGGTGCCCAAGGGCACGCCCACGGCCGACATCTCGGGCACTGAGCTCCGCAAGCGTCTCCGCACCGGTGCCGCCATCCCCGACTGGTTCTCGTACACTGGTGTCGTCAAGGTGCTCCGCGACTCCTACCCCCCTCGCCCCAAGCAGGGCTTCACCGTCCTGCTCACCGGCCTGCACAACTCGGGCAAGGACACGATTGCGCGCGCGCTCAGCGTGACGCTCCAGCAGCACGGCGGACGCAGCGTCTCGCTCCTCCTCGGCGACGAGATCCGTCCCGACCTCGGCACCTCGGGCCACAGCCGCGAGGACAAGCACGCCAACATGCTGCGTATCGGCTACGTCGCGTCCGAGCTCACCAAGGCCGGCGCCGCCGTCATCGCCGCCCCGACCGCACCTTACGATGTCTCGCGCAAGGCCTTCCGCGAGGCCGTCCAGGGCCCCGGTGGCAACTTCTTCCTCGTCCACGTCGCTACGCCCCTGGAGGAGTGCGAGGCCGCGGACCGCCGCGGACTGTACAAGCGCGCGCGCACTGGCGAAATCAAGGGCCTCACCGGCGTCGATGACGAGTACGAGCTCCCCCAGGACGCCGACATTGTCGCCGACCTCCGCACCGACTCGGTCCCCGAGGTCGTCCACTCGATCCTCATGACCCTCGAGAGCACCGGCCTCCTCGCCTAGATCCACTTAGTTTAGTTTCCGAATTTCTTAGACTTTGCGCGTGACACGCATAATGTATAGTAGTAGGCATACACTGGCACGAGCAAGAGCGGCCGAAGGCCGCGAGTGCTGACGTGAGCAGAGACTAACTGAGCGTTGGGCGCACGGTTGTGGAGTTGTACCGAGCACTCGTGCTCCGTTACACCAAGTTGCATCTAAGCCAGCAGTGCGTGGAATCCCTCCGGTCCCGGCTGCAGCCAGTTCTTCTCGTCATACTTGATCCCCTCAGCACCATCAATCATATGGAACGTGTAGATCATGCGTGTCTTCTCGCTCGGATTCGGCGGTGAACGGTGCATGACGGAGCCTGGTGTCAACTCAACCCATTCCCTCTTGCTAGCTTCACTCACCATGGATCAACACCGCCGTACCCGCCTTGACGGGCACCTCCTTCCATCCGTCCATCTTGTCCCAGTCTTCTTCTCCCTTCTCGACGCCGGGGACGGGCTCAAACTCGGTCCCTCCGTTGGGGGAGCGGACGAAGCGCGAGTGTACCTTCGCCTGCTTGTGTGATCCAGGGAGGAAGGACTGGTGTCAGCTTATCTTGCGCACAGCACAACAGCTTACAAGACAGCCGTTCTCTGGCGTGCAGTCCTCGAGCGCGATCCAGCATCCGATCGCGCTCGGCGGGTCAGTGTACAAGAATGTCGAGTCGTTGTGGCAAGGAACTGGGGTTAGCTATGGCTAAGGACAATCGAGCTGGACTTGCTCAGCACGACCCCCCGCTGCGATGACAACGTCGAGTAAGGTGTCGGCCGCAGACTCACCGACACCCCCGATCCGGGGTTGTTTGCAGATAATCATGGTCTGGAGCACGCGCGGGTCCTTGATGTTACCCTCCAGACTCCTCGCGACGTCCTTCACCTTGTCGCTTGTCGTGACCTCGCGGAACACAGGGTCGGCGAGGAGACCGTGTCCGATCTTGTTGATTGATCGCGCGGGCGGGTAGAGGAGTTTTGGCGGCTCGCCGTCCTTCGCCTCGGACAGGGCTGAAGGTTCGAGGAAGTAGCGGATCTGCTGTCAGCTCAAGGATGCAACACGAACAGCTGATTAAGTCTGAGGACTCACCTTGTCACCGCTGGTTAGGAAGTAGTCGTCCCCGACATGCTCGCCATCTTGCCGTCCGGTCTTAAACGCGGTGAGCGGGTGCGAGGCCGGGTCGAAGGCATCGAGCAGCTCGTGTGTCCGTCCTAGGAGCTTCTGCACCTCATCCTGCGAGAGGAAGTCGGGCAGCGCGAGGTATCTGAGGTCAGCTAAATGCACCTAACTTCGAAGCTGATAATTCACCCGTCGCGCTCCCACTGCTCAAGCTGCTCGGGGGTGAGTGACATGGTTGCGTGCAATGTTGACAGATGGTGGATGACGATGACGATCGAGACGTCCCCGGTTGGCCACCAACGGAAGCATCCGGCCAAGTCCGCCGATCCATACTGACAAGTCTGAGCCAAGGGCAGCCCACGGAAAGTCGAGCTGAGGAATCCGTGAAACCTCTGCATAACGTGGTTATCATCCTTATCGTGCATCTGGATGTGCCGTGCTTGCATACAGGCCACCTCTGAGTGGCCGGGCTTGCGTTGGGCTCACCGAGCATGCCGAGCACGCATGCTGGCCGGCTGAGGACGCCTTCCCAGTGAAACGTAAGCAGATGATTCATCCGCCCTTTTCCCGGTATCCGTCGGAAGCAAGAGCAGGGCGCAAGTTATAAAGGACCACGGACATGCGTCGATCACTTTGCCCGAACCAAACCCATTTCATGCCGTCCTCGCCTGCTCAGCAAGGACAAGGAAACGAACAACAGTCTAGCAGCAAGAAACTCCTCGCCGCCGCCGTCGGTATCCTCCTCGCCATCCTGCTCGCGAACCTGAACAAGATCAAGGGATTCGTGCGTCCCTCTGCCGCAACAGTTAACAGTGAGTTAAATTACACCCTGCCTCGGACCTCCGTTTCTCCAGCTGGAGGCGCTCCGTTTCGGACTGAAGCTGACTTCAGAACTCCCCCCGCTCCAATCCCGCGCCATGTCCTCGGAAACCTACCCCAGGGGCCAGGTGTACTTCCTCTCGCACGGCGGGCCGCCTACCATGTTCGACACGGCCTCGGCGCCCTACAAGGCGTGGCAGAAGTACGGGCAAGCCGTGGTGGAGCAGAACCCGCGCGGCCTCGTCGTGGTGTCGGCGCACTGGGAGTCGAACAATGACCAGATCCTCGGTAAGTTTGACGTATCCTTTCTTGCTTCTGCTTCCCCAGTTGCACAGCCCAGGGGACGCAAAGCTACTCTGGATTTGATGAGCTAACCCCTCAGTCAATGCGGACCAGTCCAACCCCCTCGTGTACGACTTCTACGGCTTCCCGCCCGAGTACTACAAGCAGACCTTCACTTCTCGCGGATCGGACTCGATGCTCTCAGACGTGAAGACCGCGCTCACCAGTGCGAACATTGACTATGCCACAACCAAGCGCGGGCTGGACCACGGCGTCTGGGTCCCCTTCAAAGTCGCCTTTAACGGGAGCACCTCCATCCCGATCATCCAAGTCTCGCTGCCGGGCGACGGTAGTCCGGTGAGCAGCGCGAAACTCGGCCGCGCACTCGCGTCCCTCCGCGACAAGGGGTACGGGATCATGGGTACGGGCCAGGCGGTCCACAACCTCCGGGACTACATGACAGGCGGCAGGGGGGAGTATGGCCGCCCCTTCCTCGATGCGATCCAGGGCGCACTCAAGTCCAGCGATCCGGTGCAGGGCACAGTCGGGCTGTTCCGACACCCGCTGTACAGGGCTGCGCACCCTTCCCCGGAGCATTTGCTGCCGCTTGCTGTCGCTGCTGCTGCTACGGATAAGCAGGATAGGATTCGGGATATCTTCGTCAAGGATAATGGCGCGCTGGGGTGGGGGATGTGGATGTGGCAGCCGCAGGCGCAGGCGCAGACACCTGTGAAGGCATAGAGACTTTGTATTCACGCATAGACCCCGCCCGAATGTATCCATATGCCTGTCCCTACTCTGTTGCCCCCAGACTTTGTGTGGAAAATGTACTTCTGACTTTGCATACAGCCTCATTGGCTCTCGTATATACTACATGTTTGTGGCTATTGTCTATGTATTACAGGGCCACCTCGCCCGCCTCGACATTATACCCCTTGACCTGGACCTTTGCCGCGTTCCCACCCCTGACCCGTGCGATCAAGTCCATCTTCTCGTGCGGCCAGAGCGTGACATAGTTGTCGCTCCAGACGGTGGGGTTGACGTCGTGCCCCTGTGCGTCGATCAGATTCACAGACACGAAAAACGCGGGCACGTCACTCCTGTTCTCCAGCGTGAGCTGGTACCCGTCCTTCCCCCTCACTACTGTCGTGGCGACGTCGGCGGGCTTGAGGCTGGACAGCGCGGTGTAGTCGGCATACTTGGTCGTGGGGGTGTACCACCAGTCGGACGCTTCCCAGTCCAGCTCGTCCAGCGAGGCGCCGAGCCAGTACACGTTGCGGCTGAACACGGCGTCGCCGTCCTTGAGCAGGAGGCGGAGGAGGACGACGCCGTCGACCTCGTCCAGGCCCTCGACCTTGCCGATCGTGCGCGCCTTGTTCGCCTAAGTGTCGGCAGAGAGGGTCTGCTGGTGCAGGACCTTGCCGTCCAGGCCCAGAACCTCGATCTCGACGGTCCGCTTCCCACCGCGGTCGAGGGAGCGGTTGATGAGCCACACGTCGCGGGAGACATAGTCGTACGCGGCGTGCTCGGGGCGCGCGCCCGTCTTCGTGCCAAAGTAGCTGCCCGCCGCACGGAGGTACTTGTCAAACTGGTTCCAGTGCAGGCCGGGCCACGCATTGTTCAGCATCCAGTAGATGATGCCTGTGGCCGGGCGTTCGGCGTTCCAGCGCGACGCAAAGCCCTCGTACTGCGCGCGCGTCGCCTCGTAGTCGCTCAACTGCGCTTTCATGAGGTAGTCCTCCAGAGAGGAGGGCTTGCCATACCGCGCAAACAGGGCGGCGTTGTAGACCTTGCGGTCGTGGAACTGGCTGTCCGCGTTCGACATGTGGTACAGCCCCTTGTCTGGATTCTTCCACAGATCATCCAGGTCGCTGTCCGAGAGGAACTTGCGCAGACTGCCGAGCTCGGGCGTGCCGACGCCCGCACCCAGCTCGGAGCCGAAGCCGAACGACGTACCGAAGCGCGTGTCTTGCAAGGAGGCCGTGTCGGGCAAATCGTGCCAGTAGTTGGGTGGGACCCAGTCATAGGGGCCCTGCATCTTCATGCCGCTCTTGATAACGGCGGGCTCGCGGAAGGACGCCGCGCCAATGATGGGCACCTGCCACCCGGCCTGCTGCAGCGCCTCGATGTAGCCGCGGGTCGCGCGCTCGTCGGGGGAATAGTCGCTGCCAATGAGGAAAGCCAGCATCGAGGGGTGCGGCTGCATGACCTGTGCCTCGTGCGCCATGCTGTACCGCGCGATGCCGTACTCCCTGTCGTCCCAGACTGGGGGCGGGTTCAGCGCCAGGTCGTGGTTGTACTCAAAGCTCTCCCACTTGTCGCAGCACTCCCACCCCGCCATGACCATGAGGCCCGCCCGGTCCGCAATCTCGTACAGCTCCGGCTGCTCCATCTTGCCCTCGAGCCGGATCGTGTTCAGCCCCATGTCAAACATGTACTCGACAATGTCGGCAAAGTATCGTCCGTCCCAGCGCAGGAACTGGTCCGCGTTGTATCCCGCACCAATGACCTGGAACGGCTTGCCGTTCACCGTGAACATCGTGTCGTTGTACTGATTGATGGCAGAGGTGACAGAGCGGATACCAAACGTCGTCTCGCGCTTGTCGCTGAGCTGCTCGTTGATGGTAAAGTCGACGGTGGCGGTGTAGAGCGGCTGCCCGCCCCATTGGCGCGGCCACCAGATCTGCGGCTGGGCCACGGTCTGCTTAAACTCGACGACGCGGCTTTCGCCAGCCTTCAGCTTCAGGTCCTGCCACAGGTGGCAGATGGCCTTGCCCGACGGGTCTGCGATGGCGGCGTTGGCACGGAAGCTGACGTCGGAGCGGCCACGGTTCTTGGCCTCGGCGCGCACAGTGACGGTGGCGTCCTTCTCGCCAGCGGGAAGGGGAAGGTCGATCAGCACGCTGAGCGGGCCCATGGAGATATCGCCAGTCTGGCGCACATTGATGTCGCGCCACACACCGGTTCCGTTGTCGGGGGCGTAGGGGTTCCAGTCGCCGAAACCGACGGCCAGGTCGTAGGCATAGTTTGTGGGATGAACCTGGACGACGATGGCATTCTTCTCGTCCGCGGCACAGGTAATGTCGTACACGTGTCCGCCGTAAGAGCCCGCCTGGAACGTCGAGTTGGCAATCTGGTTCCCGTTGATGAATATGTCGGCCTCGGAGGTGATGCCGTTCGTCTCGAGGAGGAAGTGCTGCCCGTCCTTGGCCGGCGGCAGGCTGAACTCGTTCCGGTACACCCAGGGGACCTGGAATAGGCTCCCGTCAAAGCCCTTCAGGTTCTCGGAGAACCACAGCTCCGAGTCCTTGTAAACGCCGGCATCTAGGAGGCAGCCCATCAGCGTGCACCGGGACTGGGTCGTGTGGTGCCAGTTGGCCGTGTCGACGCCCGTCGTGCTGAGCTTGCCGAGGTCGGTGCCGACTTTTGCAGTGGACTGGATGTCCCAGCGGGGAATGGCCGCGGACTGGCCGGGTCCATTGGTGAGGAGGTGGGGTTGCTGGTCGGCGTCGCCGGCGGTCGCCACCTGGGCGAGACCGGCTGCTGCGAGCAGCAGAGTGGTGATCATGGTGAATGATGCTGGGGAGAAAGGAGAAGGAGGGGCATTGTCAGATAGTTATACCCCGTCTCCCCTCCTGGTTGTCTAGTGCAGTGTCAGGGGTGGTGCGAGTGTGACATGTGCCGAGCGGGTAGACGGGCTTTGTTTGTGCGTAGCGGTGTGCGCGCGCGCGTCAGATGCAAGGCATGCAAGGGCTGAATTGTGCGCTAAATGTTCTGCCGTGCCTTGGTCCTGGTGCACAGAAGGTCGATCCGATCGGCCCGATGCGCGTGCCCCCTCTGCCCAACTCTGACACGCTCTTGGTCTTGGCGGCGCATGCAACGGAGATACATATGGGCGAGAGATGCGAGTCGATGAGATCCAGGAGATCCTCCCCCATGGGTGTAGGGGCAAGAAGGGAGCGGAAGCTGGCACAGCATGCACAGGAATGGGAGTGCGACTGGTGCTGACGATGCTGACGATGCTGAGCGCTGGAACCAAATAACCCTCGTCTGTAGCCGCTGTAGCCGCTGCAGGCTGACCGTTTGAGTGAATTGTAAAGCAGCTCGCCTTCTCCGTGGACCCTGCAGAACCTTCAGAAGACCCTGCCAATCGCCAACAACGATAAACCTTGGCATGCCTCGGATCCCTGGATAATGCATGATGGGAGGCTGGCACAACCTGCACGTGAGTGTCCATGCGCGCGACGCTGAAGAGACGTGCAAGTGCGACAGTGTCTGTGCAAGGCGTGTTCACAACCACGCTGCTGGTGTGCTTTGGGCCGGGGTTGACCAAGGACCGAGTCGCACGATGTGCCCGGGCGTCATCTAATGTGACCGCCAAAGAACCCTCGTTTAGTCGGGCACCCCTGCCCCTGCCCTCTACCCTCTGCACTGCCAGCAGGATCCAAGGACATAGCGAAAAGGCTTTAGACATGTCCCGACGCATAGCATCATCGCCTCAGTGTCACATGAGTCGCTCACAAGACTGTGCTTATTGTGGGCTCTCTCCGTGGATGCGGGGAACAGTGGCCCAGTGGGATGGGTCGTCATGTTCGCTGCAGAAGAGTCACACCAAACCTTGCATGCTCGATCGAGGTCGGGCATGGGGCAGGGTGCTTGCATCCGGCCGGGTTACATACTCGGGCAAGCGTGCTTCTGTGCCGATCAGATCTGTTTGTCTACCTACAGGATGCGCGCGTGCGAGAGCATAGCCAGGACTCTAGAATGATCGTGCGTTATGCACATCTGGCGTCTTTTCGATCTCAGTGAGGCGGGCCGACTTCGTCGCCACAGCCCTCAGCCCTCAGGCCCGTCTCCGAGGCCCAAGGCTGCATCATCCAAGGTCCAACTAAGCTACGCGGGTTCCTAGGCTTTGCGTCCCGAAGCACCGGTCATGTCCTCGTGTGATCAAGTGATGTCATGTGCCTCGACACTCGCACTTCGACGTCTCGAAGCATACGTTCATACGTTCCACGAGCAGAGTAAGCGCGGCCGTTGTGAGACCGGACGCTGGATATGGGCTCAGGTCTCTGGCAGAGTGTATGTCACGAGCTTGGCCGTGTTCTTGGCCGGATGAGGCGGTTTACCACGGCCCCCGGTCAACGGTGGATAGAAGACATCTGCGCCCTCAACTGATGGACATGGTGTCCAGATCGAATAGAGAAATAGAAGAACCCAAGCACGCTTGGCAGATCAATTCGCGGTTATGTCGGCCCAGATCTGATACATAGCTGCAGTCGGCACCGGCTCATCCTCGTGGAGATCACGGATCGGCACCATCTTCCCAAGCGGCACCGCCACTCGATCTGTGTATACTTGCATTCCTTCAGACTACGACAACTCCTCAGTAGCTCACTGCCCACGGATACCGACTAACAAGTCCTCGTTCGCTGCAGCTCGCCGGCTCGCCGGCTCGCTACAGCTTCGAGCCCGCGAGTCAGTTCTCAACCTTGGTAATGAGCTTTCCGCGGTTCTGGCCCGAGAACAGCTTCTGCCACACCTCGGGACACTTGGAGATGGGCGCGGAGACAATGTACTCCTTGTCGTCGGTCGTGATCTTGCCCTCCTTGATCCACTTGCCGAGGTTCTCGACCGCGGTCTGGTACTTGCCCTGCAGCATCATGTCGATCACGATGAAGCCCTCGATCGTGAGGCGGTTGCTGATCACCTCGAAGAAGTTGTTGTACTTGGCGTTGTCGCGGTCGTTGTAGCTGCAATTGTCAGCGGAGTCGCCGAAGGCGGGCCCGAGTGGTCAGTACTCAGAGCAATGTTGACGACTCGGGACCGGCACTCGCCCACTCGCCCACTAGCACCCTGCGGGTGCTCGTGTGCTCGTGGCTCGTACTCACGTCGCAATCATACCGCAAACGCCAATCTTGCCGTACCGCTTCATCCTTCCAAGCATCTCATTGAAGATGTCCCCGCCCACATTCTCATAGTAGCGGTCGCAGTCCTCGGGCAGCGCCTGCTTGAGCTGCTCCCTCCAGTCCGCCTCCTTGTAGTCGATACACTCGTCGGCGCCGAGCTTCTTGACCCAGTCGCACTTCTCCTTGCCGCCCGCGATGCCCACGACGCGCTTGGCGCCAATCACGTTCTTGGCCAGCTGCACCACGCAGGATCCCACGGCTCCGGCCGCACCCGAGACCACCACGGTGTGCTCCTTCTTGATGTCCAGGACTTCGAACACACCCTGGTACGCCGTCACGCTCACCATGCCGAGGACGGAGAGCGAGGCGGCCTCCATGCCCGGGAGGTCGCTGGGGGGGTTAGCTATGAACGGTGATCAAATGGGGACTATTGCTGCGGACTGCAGAGCACGGCGGAGCACGGCGGAGCATGGCAGCACTCGCCAGCGCCCCGCCTGCTCTTCGCAATGGGGAGCCTCGAGTGGCTCAAGGTTGAGGCCCGTAACAGTGCTCTACACCTCGAAGGCGCAGCAACCACGAGAAGACAGGGAGACAATTTCACGGACGGCCTGCCGGCCGCCCGGGGTACTCACACAGCAGGCGCGAGGAGCTTGTCAGCCGGGATGACAGAGTAGTCGGTCCATCCGTAGGGTCCGTACCAGTACTGGCCCTCCTTGACCTTGTCGCTCTTGCTCTTGAGGACGGTGCCGAGGCCGTAGGCGCGGACGATCTCGCCCTCGTTCATGGGCGGGGCGTAGAGACGCTTCGGGTCGGCGTCCTTCTGCATCCATCCGCGCTGAGCGGGGTCGTTCGAGATGTACTTGACCTGGACGAGGACCTCGCCGTCCTTCAACTCGGGAAGGGGGCGGGTGACGTACTCGAAGGTGTCGGGCTGGATCGCCTTCTCGGGCTTGCTCTTCAGGAGCCAGCAGTGCTGCTCGGTCGGGGCGGACATGGTGATGTTTTGGTGGGAGAGGTGGGTGAAGGTGGATGGTAAGGAGAGAGAGAGAGAGGTGTAAACAGAAGAAGGCTCCACGACTTAAATGTTCTCAGGTTCTCGAGCCAAGACAGTGTTGGAACCTGTGGGACAGACTGGACAGAATTGTGGGCTGCGATGCCACGAGCGGGCAAGGTATTGCCGGCTTTGATGTCATGCAGCCTCGCTCTCATCAGCGGACACCTCCACCCTCCACCTCCTCCACGGGCGTCGCCGACGGCCATGTCTGGCCATCTGTCAGCGTGCGCCGGCCCATTCAGGACAAACCATGCATCACCTCCACCATTCTCGACACCTCGCCCCGTCGCTTGCGGAGCATCGTGAGTCAACAGTGGACAAGAATTAGGCGCCGGGGCGAGGGCATGCGACACTGACAAGATCAGGAACCTGCTCACGGGAACCTCCGCCCACCACTGGCATGGAACAAAACCCAGGAGATTCCAAGATATGACGTCGGCTGGTGCCGACAGATCTTTCAGGGACTGGGTCGGTGGCTGGGATTTCTCACTTCTGTTCACGCCTTCGTTACCGCGCTGCCCGCAATGCGATGGTTGTTTACCAAGCTGACACCCAAGGATAGCCTCCCATGCCGTCCGGCTTTGTCAGCTCTCAGGAGTCTCAGGACAACAATCCCCAGAAAGTAAGGGCAGGCGCTCGTGTGAGTCTCTGGCGGGGTTATTGCCGAAAGAATCTCGTCGGACCCGCGATACGGGTTCGGCCGTTGCCTTTCGGCCCCGATTGTGGTTATCACTTCACATGGGCACAGTGCGGTTTATCTATAACTTAAAATGTACAACTATAGCTCTCTTGCAGCAGTCATTACGCCGCGTCTTCCGGGACAGGGGCGTGGGATGCGGCCGGGTCGGCGGGCTTGGGCGCCGAGTCGGGCGCCTTGGATCCCGTCTCGGTCGACGTCGCCGTGCCCGTCTCGCTCGCCTGCGTGCTCATGGCGGCCGAGTTGACGTTGGAGCCAAAGTAGTCGCGCTTCGTGTGGTCGACGCGCTCAGACTCGGGTTTGCGGAACTTGGCCGGCTTGGGGCGGTGCGTGTCGACCGCAGCGATGCCGAGGGGGTAGCGCTCCTCCTCACATCCGTAGGCACGGGGCGAGATGCGGATCAGAGTGTGCAGCGGCACATTGATGTATGGCAGCTCCTCCTGCGGCAGCTCCATGAAGTATGCGTACAGGCAGCGGATGATCGCCTGGTGGCCGACGATAAGGATGTTCTGCTGGCGCTCGAGCTCCATGATGACGGGCTCCAGACGCACAACCACATCGCGGTACGACTCGCCACCACGGTAGCGGTAGTTGAACTTGTCCTCGTCGCGCGCGTCGTAGTCCTCCGGGTACTCGCGCTCAATCTCCTCGTACGTCATGCCGTCACACACACCCGCGTCCAGCTCGTCAAGCGACTTCCACGTCTTCTTCGGGAACGGAAGCTTAGACGCGGTCTGGATCGTACGCGTGAGCGTCGACGTCCACACCTCCAGGGGTCCGTCGCCGATATGCTTCTTCACCATGTCCGGCAGAGCGGCAGCGTACTGCTGTCCTCGCGGCGAGAGCTCGGCGTCTCCACCAATCTTGCCTTCGACGTTGTACATGCTCTCTCCGTGCTGAGAACAGTTAGCCAAGCACATTTCAAAACTCACTCTTGACAGGTAGATGCTGCGAGGCTTGAGATGTAAGTTCATGAGGTAGAACGCGATACGCGACTGCAGGTAGCCCTCAATGCGGTTGATCGTGACACGCTTGCCGACGTTCAAAATTCGACAGAAGCTGATGTCCGGCTCGTCGATCGTCTGGTACACCTTCTCGTACTGCGCGATACGCTTGCGGAAGTCCGCCATGGCCTCCTCCGTAGACATGCCCGCGTAGTCGGGGTCACCGGACCTTGCCTTCAGTGCAACATTGGCGTTGATAACGTCAGGGTCGTCACAGTAAGACTCGAGGAACAAAAGTTGAAGCCCGGGCTCCTTCGCGATGCGGTCTCGGATCTTGGCTCTTCGCTCGTACGTGCTGTTCGTGGCATCTGGATGTCAGCTTCAAACGGATGCCCGATAGCTTACCCATGATTCCGACATTGCCCTCCTTCTTCAGCCACGCGATGAGGCTCTCCAAGCTCTCCTCGGCGAGCTGCTCACGCGACGCCTTGGCGTCCGCGTTGTTTGCGGAGAAGTAGTTCGCTGAGTGGTCCGTCTTCTCTCCACCGCTGCAAGGTCAGTGTTTTCCCTGTCACAAATTGCTCTCACGCTTCCTGAACGGCACGGGCCTTGGACCGCCTGAGCTGGCCGACGTTGAAGACCTCCACCTTGTACTCCAGCCACTGCAGGGGTCAGTGATTGTCGATCGGATGAACGTACCCTCAGATATCTCATGAGCTTGTTACTCAAGTACGACTTTCCTCGGGCCGGCAGTCCAACCTGGACGTTAGCTAAAGCATGCTGAACGTTACGTACCATAGCAACGACAATCTTCGCCTCGGAGTAGTCTGGCTTCTCAACTGCTCGGTTAGGCGAGGTCCAACTTAAGCGGGAGTGACTCACCAACAGTTCCAATACCGGACACTGAAGGGGCGCGGTTCAGTCCAACTGCATTCTGGCGGATCACCTTGGTGCTCTCGTCAAGAGTTTGGAGCCTGCACCGGTTAATCAATGACCGCATTGTTGATGACTCACAGGCCTGTGGTTGCACCGAAGTGGGGTGTCTGTGCAGGACTCTTGCCCGGCTGCGATGGCGGCCCGGAGATGTCTGCCGACATGGAATTCCTGTGTCCCGGGCTGGAAGCTCCAGAGCGTGTCGGGGGAGTCGTATTATTGCTACTAATACTAGGGGCGCGCGACAGGCGGAGGCTGTCGATCTTGGAGATGGCATCAGCCAGCGTTCCTGGCTCTGGCGTTCCTCCAGAGGGGTTTCGCTTGACCGAGGGTCGCTCATCGACCTCACCGGAGGCGATGGCCTCGAGAGCCTTGTCAACGAGTTCGGGCGGCGCTGATGCTGGTGGGGGAGGGACGGGCGGTTGCGACATGGTGATTGTGTGGAGTGATCGAAGTGACGATGGTGGGAGTTGGCTCGCATCGAGTAGTTGTGGGTCATGCAGCTGCCGCGAGTCATACCGCCTCCTGATCAGGCACGTGTTTCTGACGTGTGATTCGAAGAGCGGGCGATAAGGACCGCTTCGTATCAGCCATCTGTGGGGTCTCCAGATCCAGTCACCTGAATCCATCTTGGCGGGCAGTCGCGCATTCGAGGTCGCGACTTTGTTATTGCCAGGTCCTGATTTAGCAACATCCAAAGGACGTCATCACCATGTCGTCCTACTACCCCGCCAGCCAGAAAGACGCACCTTCGTGGGACTCATTCGACACCATCGAGGATGAGACGCTCGATGTCGCCGAGGTGAGTGTATGACGCCTTCCCTTGCTGACCACCAGTACGCGCACACGTCGAAGGATCACATCCTCTTCGTCATCGATGCCTCCGAGTCTATGCACAAGCCTTTGCCCGACGAGGAGAATGAAGCCGGCATTATCAGAGGCAAGAGTCCACTCCACCAGGCCCTCGAGTCTGTCTGCAACATTGAGCGCAACAAGGTGACCACGGGACCTTCCGACAGCGTTGGACTCGTGTTTTACAATGTCGACGATCCTACTAGCGGCGCGTCTCAGGGGAAGGCGGGAAGTGGTATTCTCAAGTTTCAGCAACTCCGTCAGATCAGCGCCGAAGACATCAAGCGCATCTACAGGATCGTCCAGCAGGCGAATGCGCAGTACGACGAGCAGACCGAGTCTGACGAGGAAACGGTTGAGCCAGCGATCCTGCGCGAGTTGTGCCCTCCGCGACCAGCCAACGACGAGGTCAACATTGCGAACGTTTTCACTGACTGCAACCATGTGTTCCGTGACGGGTGAGTCTGCTCTTGCATCTCTACTGACCAGCAGTGGAAGCAAACTCGTCGGTAACAAGCGCATCTTCCTCATCACCGACGACGACGAGCCGCAGGGTAGTCTGGGTAACCGCCAGCCCGCGAGGACAACTTACAACGTGAGGCTACCCCTCCCCAGCCTTCAGTTGACGTCAGGATCTCCTCACTTCGGGTGTGAATGTCAACACCTACTTTGTTGGCCGACCGGAAAAGCCCTTCGACCAGCAGATCTACTGGAACGTGCGTGCTCCTGTGGTACTGTGGTGCTGACAGCAGGACATTCTGCAACGAGAAGACGAGCAGTTTGCCAGAGAGATTCCAGCTGCCTCAGACGGTCTTTCTGAGCTGGCAGATATCATCTCAGAGCTGGTTATCCGCCAGGCGCCGAAACGCAAGCAGTTCAGCATCCCTTTGAAGTTTGGAGGTCGCGATGGTGATATTGAGATTGGAGTTAGCGGGTGGGTTGGGTTTCCCACGTTGCAACTGACATCAGCTATTCTCTCATCTCTGTCCAGAACAAGGGGCAGCCAAAACTCGTTCACATGCAGGGAGAGACTGTCGAGGAGGTGCAAACCAAAACGGAATACACTGCGGCTGTGAGTTGTATGTCCCTCTCCCTAACTAACATGACAGGAAACCGGAGGAGAGCTTGGGGCTCACGAGATCACTCTTGCCTACCAGTTCGGCAAGGAGGCGACGATTCCGAACGTGCTGGAGAAGAATTACTGGGAGAAGGACGGAGACGTCAAGGCCGCTCCTTCGCAGATGGACGTTGACGGAAGTGCCGACCAGCAGCCAAAGGTCGTTGCTCGGACAAGAGTGAGTAATAATTCCGGCTCCTCGCTCACCACAGGTTCAATTCAGTAAAGAAGAGATCAGCAGCTTCCGCACACTGGGCATTGAGCCGCCGCGTAGGTTCCAACCAATGCCGTTTGCTAACCTAGCAGAGATCCGCATTCTCGGGTTCCAGTCACCGGAACGCTGCCGCCTCGAGGACAACGTTGCGCACGCGTACTTCATCTACCCCGACGAAACGAACTACACGGGGAGCACGCGAACTTTCACGGCGCTCCTGAACTCCTGCCTCAAGCTGAACCGCCACGCCTTGGCAATCGCTCGTCTACGGGCCAACAGCCCACCTGAGTTTGTCCTTCTCATCCCGCAAGCCGAGACCTTCGCGAAGGGGGGCGGCCAAGAGGACCCGCCAGGCTTCCACGTTATCCGACTTCCGTTCGTCGACGACATCCGCGACCCGCCACGCGGCATGACGGAGAATATTGTCGCGACGGACGAAGAGGTCATGGCGATGGAGAAGATCATCCGCCGCCTCCGCTTCAAGTCGGGCAAGTATGCTTCGGACGCGTACCAGAACCCAGCGCTGCAGTATCACCAGCGCCAGCTCGAGGCGCTCGCGTTCGAGGAGGACTTTGACACGGCCATGTTCGAGGATGTCGCGCTGCCTAAGTACGCAGGCGTACACAAGCAGGCCGGAAAGCTCATGGCCGAGTGGAAGCGGCTCGTTGACGAGGATGACCGCGCGTTGGAGAACCTCACGGTCAAGTCGGGCACGAAGCGTGGGGCTGCTGCTCCTGCAGCTGCGGCAGTAAGCTCAGATGATTGGTGAGATAGCTGACAGCAGATCGACGAGTACGCCGTCGCAGACGTGGTCGACGCTTTCAAAGCGGGCAAGCTGGAGAGGGTGAGTGGCGTCTTACCAGCTGCTTTCGGGTGCTAGGTAGCTGACGAACAGGTGCGCGTCGCCGACCTTCGCGAGTACGCAAAGTATCACAGTGAGCTATCAATCGCTTGTGGAAGCTGACCCCAGAACTCTCCCCGCCAGAAGGTCTCCCGCTCACGAAGCTACTGAAGAAGGACCTCATCGATCTCGTCAAGCCCCACCTCCAGGGCGCAGGGAAGAAGGCGAAAGTCTGAAGACAACATGTTGTACATGCAGATGTAGATGTAATAGGGCGCGATCAGCGAGAATGGCCGGACCATGCGGACAGCGGCGCAGCGTGCCGCTCCACCACCCGCGAAACCGCATACCTCGACGCCTCGCGGACACGACGCCCGCGACGCCACTGATGACACCCAGTCTCGGACTGCAGCGAATGCTAAAGGTGAAACCAGTGACGTCCTCTTCGATCGGTGCATATCGATGACACCCCGCTGCGGAATGCCCTTTGCTCCATGTGTCCATGTGCATGGTGCAGACGTGCAGACAAGCAGCTAGCAGCACCATGCGGAGCGTTTGCGCAGTAGAGCTCTGTGCACGACCTCGCACTTCGCACTCGCAGCGCTGCATGCGCTGGGTGTTGGAGCGTCAGTATGGCGTGCGGAGGAAAATTAGACGGCGCCGCGCGCAGTTGTCTCGCAGTCAGCGGCGGCACTGCATGCACTGCAACAGCGCCGATAAGGACGCCTCGGTTGGGACCGGAAGCAGAGGCCGACCGCGCCGTGCATCTATCCGATACCGGGTTGCAACGTCCATGGCGTGTCTAGTGTACTAGTGTGACGCTAGACGCTAGACGAGGACGGATCAGCCCACGATCGCAGCTCTTTGACCTTGGCTCAGGACGAGTGCTTATCTGCAGCCTCTGCATGCTCTGCAGCCTCTTCGGTGGCTGCGGTGATCACGAGGACTCAACGGGTTCAACGGGTCCAGCGGGATCGGCGACTTGTCCTTCGCGTTGTCACCTTTTGCCACCCGTCGCCGTCGCATGTCTTGGCACAGCGGCTATATCACGGTCGGTGGCGAAAATGTCGGGATTCAGTGGCTCCATCAAGACTGCATACCGCCATAGCTCTATGGGCCCAGTCCAGATCCGAGAAGAGCCGTACGTGCCCGCTAGCTTGGAAGATCCGTGTAGATCGCCCCGCCTCTACTTATGGGGGGAGTCGCCATTCCCAGAAATGACATCAAGGTGGATTGGAGTGGATGTAGCTCGCACGTGCCTCGGCGCGCAGGAGGTGGACCAACCAGGGCCCCCTGGGTTAAGGTTTTAGGCCCCGCATGCGCCGCTGCCTGGCGCTGCCTGGCGCTGTGGCCGATTGACTAACGCAGCAGCTAACCGAGCCCAGGATCTCGCAGACACAACCGCCGTTCAGCCCCGCCGCGCCCGCCGTTCCTCCCGTTCCTCGCTCGTTTCGTTCGGTCTCATCCAGCGATCGCAATCTGGCGACCTCGGGGCACTCGTACACTCCTCCTTTATTCCATCACACTTACTCTACTACTACGACTACTGTCGCACGACCTCGACCACGACCAACCTCGATCTCGTTCTCTGTACAGAGACAGCAAACCCTTTCACTCGTTCAACTACTTTACAACTTACGATTCACCATCGAAACATTTCTATAAACGAACTTCGGACACTTGCACCACCCCTTTTTTTGCGTTTTTCTTGGACCAACTCCGACCACCTCGACCGACTAGACGACTAGACAGTGACTCGTTGGACGCTCGCTCGCCGCTCGCTGTCACCGTTACCGCTCGGGAGAGCGCGCTTTGACAAGACGCTCTTCCAGCAACCATGAAGTTCGGGAGGTGAGTGAGACTTCGCAATGGAGAAGCACATGGGCCAAAACGCATGAGTCACCGACTGTGCGCCGTGCGCCGTGTGCTGCGGGCGCGGCCCGTTCTGCGGCCTCCTGCCGCCCAATATAGCACTACGCCCTTGGCCCTTGCGTCCAACAGTGCCCCTTATCGCCTCTGCCGCATTACGCCTGCGACTTAACTGATTCCCTAGGTATCTCGAGGAGAACGCGACGCCGGAGTGGAAGCGGGCGTACATCGACTACCGGGGCGCGAAGAAGGCGATCAAGCGCGCAGCCGCAAGCCGCGAGAACCAGGCCGTCGACGAGAACAACGACTTTTCGTCCGAGGAGGACGACGCCGACAATGGGCCCTCGGCCAAGCCCCGCAGCCCCAACTCGCCCTCGGCGCTGACGAGGATTATCTCGGGCAGTCCCAGGACGCCCAACACGGCAAGGAGCGGCAAGACACCCCGAACAGGTCCCAGTCCGCTGAGCCCGAGACCGAAACGATCGGTCGGCAAGTCGCCAGCGGCGGGGCCGAGTGGGACGAGGGTGAGTGAGACTGTCCGATGGGCTGGGGCTTCGGGTCAGACAGTGACGGCACGTTCGTTCGAGAGTCTGGAATCTCATCGACTCTCCGTCCCGGACTCCCGAGATCGACATCACGCTGACACACAGCCAAGCCCAGGCTACGGTGCTACCGGCACTTCGCCGCCCTTAGACGACAACGGGGTACAGTTCCCTCCTCCGCTCGACCTCGGCGAGCCGGGGATCCCGCCATCGCCAGACCTCAAGTCGTCCCAGCAGACTGCATTCCTCGAGCCAAGCGATCTGAACAAGGAGCGGCTGAAGGGACGTGTAGACACTGCGCGCGGCGCAAGTGGCGCAACCAGCGGGGCGACCAGTGGCGCGGCCAGCGGCGCTACGAGCGGGTCGGCCAGCGGAGCCGCCAGCGGGAGCCGGTCCCCGGCCATCTCGTCCATCCCCGAGACGCCCGCCGAGGGCGAGGAGCGCGGCACCTCTAGCGAGGGCGGTCCCTCCTCCCCCGACGCGCCCGACACGCCGCTGACCCAGAGCAGCAGAAAACACCACGGGCACACGAAGGGCTCGCCGAGCAAGTTCTCCTTCAAGTCGCCCAAGACGCATGCGTCCGTGGGCGTGTCGCAGAGCTCGACGGCGGACGCGCCGAGCCAGAAGAAGTCGCTCCGTGAGTACCTCTTGCCCGTTTCCGAAACCACGGCTGACACCCAGGTAACATGAAGCTGCCCTCACCGAAGATCCAGCCGAAGCAGCCGCAGTCCATGGACGAGCTGTACGCGACGCTGAACCCGGACGAGCGCGCCTTCTTCGACCACCTCGACAAGCAGCTGGATAAGGTGGAGACGTTCTACAGTGCGAGAGAACAGGAGGCGACGCGCCGCTTCTCGCAGCTCAAGGACCAGCTTAACGCGCTCGCGGAGCACAGGCGGATCTTCCACGAACAGTTCCCCGGAGGACAGCACGAGTGGGAGTCCAAGGTCGGCCGGGTCACCAAGAACGCCCACGTGCCCATCCTCGCCAAGGCGGTGCAGCACCTGCACGGCCGCAACCCGTTCCACAACCATACCGACGACGAGAACGCCGGAGGGAGCGGAGCGAATAGCGCGAACGGAGGGAACGGCGCGAACGGGACGCGACGCAGATCGCCTGCCGGCATGCCCGGGGCCAGTAACGGCAACACGCCCAGTAACGGGGGCACCGCGTACTCGACCGCCGTTAGCAGCGTGCGGCAGCCTGAGGGCGGGAGCAACGGGAGCAACGGAAGCGGGAGCGAGGGCAGCAGCGGCGACAACGACCTGAGCGGGACGACTGCGGCGGGCTCGA